CGGAAAGGAAATTATACAAGTGAATGGTGTTCTTAATTACGGCATCAGAAAAAATGGTTGGAACAAATTCTGCTGGTACTGACAAGTTCTTTATCTATCATCGAACGTTGACTTTGACACTATTAGGTCTCATCTGGCAGCCGGGCTGCATGCAATGGCTAGGCCAAAAACAATTTACTTCTGCTTCAGATTACATGGCATTCAAAATTGGGGTAGGTAGGTAGGGAATTTTTTTTCTTTGCCAATTTTTTTGTGTACGATCATATGGAGGCGTCTGCGTGTAGTCAAGGGTAAAAGGTAGAAATTGATGGTTTTGGGTGTTTTTTCCTCATTTTTCCCATTAAAAAAATTGAGTAGGGGCTGTCAGAAGAGCGTAGGTAGGGAAACCGGAAGTAGAACTATTTATATTTTTTTTTTGGCCTTAGTGGGACACTGAAAAAGAGTTAGTGTGGATTTGTAATACAAATTTGGTCTTGACAAACAGTCAGACAACCTTATGATTTAATTTGAATTAAATTTCATGTTTTATTCTTCTACAGCGGTCAAATGCTAAATTGTACCCTCTGTATGCAAACAAAAGTTACTTAATTTTTTTTTTCATTTTTAGCCACAATTTATGAAAGAATTGAGTTCAACTTGCGCAGTACTGTCTTAACACTTTTGTACAAACTAAATTGTAATTATTCATTCACGTTTGTCAGAAAGGTTTTTTTTAATTCCCCCATTTCCCCATCTCTACAGGGTGAATAAAAAAAACCCAAATGGCCGGACCAATCTTTGGATGAATTTGTACCTGTAGCACTTTCAAAATCTAGGATATGAAAGCCCAATCAATGAGCTTTCTTTTAGTACAAGAATCATTCGAATCACTCATGTACTTTTCAAGTTACAGCATTTTGAACACAAACACGGTTTTAAAATTCTGTTCACGGATCACAAAAAAGTAAGTGTTCTTTCAGCAAAACAAAACCAATTCACATGCATCCCTGTGTGAATTGTGACCGTTTTGCTGAAAGAACACTTCCTTTTTTGAGATCTGTGAACAGAACTTTAAAACAGTGTTTGCGTTTAAAATGTTGTAACTCGAAAAGTACATGATTGATTGTTTGGTTCATGTCATGTGTAAGCCCCTACTAAATTAAAGAAAGCTTAACAATTGGGCTTTCATGTCCTAGATTTTGAAAGTGCTACAGGCAAAACTTCATTCAAAAATTGGTCCTGCCATTTGGGTTTCATTTATTTTTTACTCGCTCTGTATTTTTTAAAGACCAGCTTAATAATTTTTTTTTTTAATACTGATAGCATTCATAATTGACTTCCGGCAAAATCGATTGAGTTCCAGAACCCGACATGTGCAACTGACAATTAAAAAAAAAAAAATACAGAATAAAGCAAACAAGCAATTGCATACATCATCCATATTTGGCAATTCAACTTCCTGAAACAGAATTTTTATGACAGCCAGCTGTTGGCATTTTTTTCCCCAGAACAGAAACTTGCTGACAACTGCAAAAAAATTAAAACCTATGCAAAAAAAATGAGCCACTTATCTCAACTACAGATAAAAATGGAGATAACAAATTATGAAACTAGCACTATAATTTGATATTCATAATCGAACTATAATGTACAAGGTCCGGAATTTTGGGGAAAACAATGTGGGTTGCATGTCATAGGTCGAGTCATTAAATATGCTTAACAGAATATAAACTGACCTACTTGTGTGATAATGCTTTTGTCATTGGAAGATACAAGAATGTCGTATGTAATGTTCTAACCAATAACTAGGTTGCTTTATCAGAAAATGAATGAACAAGGTCCAAAAATCGGATGAAATGCGGGTTGCAAGTGATTATATTCTCATTTGTCACTTCTCGAAGGCTTTGAGGACAATTGAAGATTCCCCCCAAAATAAAAGGACTGAACGTTCTCTGAAATGTTATTTTCATCCCCCGTGTGTCTTCATTATTGAGGGCGCTGTTGGCTAGTTCCTGGTTCGTCCCTAAACTTTTGGTTTTGAATTTCAAAACTTGATATATTCCTGGAGAAAATCGAGTTGAATATATGTTGTTTTCTGGGTCTGTACACTGAATCCCTGATGGTGAAAAACTCACTCAAACTTTAGTTTAAAAAAAAAAGTGTAAGGCCAAAAAAAAAAATAAGTCGGTCTCTGGTCAGCGCGTGCGTCGATTTTAATCATGCCGACAATCTTTTTTTTTTCCAAAATGTTCCGCTGTAGCTCCAACAGCGCCCTTTATTTCCGCACCTCCTCAATTTTTTTTACCAAAGAGCACCAAGGAATGGGAAATTGCACCAAGGCAAATGATCGAAAGCACCAAGGCAAATTATGGAGGACACCAATGTACATGAGGACACCAAAAAAGCAAAATAGTACCCCACCTTGTCTGTACAATCCAAGCTTGAAGAAGAAAAAAAAAAGCGGAAAAAAAAAGCCGCGGAACTTTGGTCTGACCAGAGACCGAATATTTTTTTGGGGGGGGGCCTAAGGGGGACTTTCTATTTTGGTTGAGTGTAAGTGCAATGACCTCCAAGCTACTCGTTAGTATACTGAGAAATCGCAGTACGCTTCTGTTGACTCCAACCAAGGAGAAAAGAAATAGGGATTTCAGAGGGAAAATACTTTTAGAATGCAACCTAAAGGCTAGACAAAAAAAATACTGCTGTCATACTCCAAAGCATACAATGCAGATTTGGACACAATAATTCATCTTCCAACAACCAGGAATTAATGGCCAATCCCTAATCCATATTAACCATGGATTAACACATCGATGTCTGTATCGGTTTTGAATTGGTCATAGTTCTGCGGCCTACCCAAGTGAAAAATCTGGATTATACCCATCAATCACGCCCACGTGAGAACCCTGTGGCCTTCATAAATGAGCAGCCCCATGACTGATTGAAAACTGCTTCATCTACCCAGTTAGAAACGGTAGCCCATGTTGGAATCCGTGCAGGCTTTCTATGAGTTGAAGTATAACTACATGTAAGCCCAAGAATACCCCGGCAGCATCCGAAACAAATAGTTCATAGCAACAGCTATTCTGTTGTCAGCGCATAAGCCCAGGTAGCTGAAATTGTCCCAGACCTAAAAAATAGCCTAATGCACAATGAAGCATATACAGCTCTTACGTGGGCCCAATTCCTATTCAGGCTGGCATTAAAGCCTAAGGCAAAACAACCCACACTGACTCACGCATGGAAGTCCAAGAGCCAGGGGTCATTTATTTTTTGGAAATGACCAAGTGTTTAGAAAGTATTTTTGGAAAGGTTACACCTTGGGGAAATTAAATTGGCTAGTCTTGTGGTTACCTGGCGGTGGACCTGGATATCAGAAACAGATAAGTGACGTCACATAAGCAGTGATTAGGACATGCAACAGCTGTCGGTCAGAAAAGGACTGTATACGCAGAACGTACGTATTACTGACCCGTTGGCTGTTGTATGTCGTACTCAACCTTGCACAACACTGAGAAGAATACAGGCCATGTTTACGTTTTATTACCTTTTTAAATGATTTCATAAAATAAGTTGATAAATTGTAACATTTCTCGAAAGATCAGGGGTGTAAGATAGGTTGTTACTAAAATATACCTCATATACATGTAGGCCTGACTCTTTATTTCCAAATCGCAATAGCCTACACTTCAAAATAAAATTTTAAAAACCTCACAACAGTTTTTTAAAAGATACATCAAATTTAAGTATGCCTGTGTGTATGCAAATAAGGCCATTAGAATTTTTTTTACTGCAAACATTACTCATCCCCCATAAATGAATACAATAAGGCCAAGTAAAAAAAAAAACAGTTGATCGTCCCCGCCCGCTTCTTTATTCAAGGCTGCATCAATTTTATTTATTTTTTTATTTCAGGCATAACATTTTTGTAAAGATGTTTCAGAAGTTCAGATGCTTCTAATACCTTTAATTATGTTCAATAAGCACTTGAAGAAGGGAATATACATCATTTGCTTTTGCTGTAATTTTCAGAAATGGATGGAATTGGGGGGTTGGTAATACATAGCAAATATTGTTACACTGACTTTTCTGAAGTTTTGGGTTCGAGAATGCTATAAAAACCAAGAAAAACAATACTTTTCCTGTTGTCTGGTTCCCGGACTCCATTTAAGAAGAAACAGAGCAGTTTATGTACATTGGGGAATTGTAAGGTCAGGGAACCAGTCTAGCTGGCTTGTACCCGTTCATAGGTGTATAATCGATTGCAAACAAATGTGATGGTCAATTGGGGCCAGTATTTGAAAAAAAAGCCGGTTTTTTCCCAACGCTGGTCGGCCGACCAGCGTTGGAAATTGATACAAAAATACCACTTTTCTTGAAAATGACAGTATACCAGGTGCCATGATTTTACAGGATGCTTTACACTGTCATTCACTAACAGTCCAGCAAGGTATTTCAAAATAATTTGGTAGTTTTATTTTTTGATGTTTGCAAATGTTGTATTTTCCCTTTAAGAAGGTTTTGTGGTCATCAACTAGTAGACAAAAAGGGCCTCCTCCTTTTTAAGGCACATATCGTGTCAGTTTAATATGGCTATTGTAGCCTATTTTTGATAAAAATATAAAAATAAAAAGGCCCTCATCCTCCTCTTTTTAAAAAAAAACCCGGACGATCAACTGGTGTTTTTTTTTACTTGGCCTAAACTTATTTCAATACAAAATAGGGTTAAATATTTGTAATGCATAATTATTCCAAAGTACATGCATTCTTTGTAATGCCTCATGTACCAGTAGAATAACAATTTCCTTCTCGTGGAGTTTTGTCTGTTTTAATTAATTATATTGCTCTATAAAAAATTCGCATACTGATCAGTCACATGCGTGTTACTGTACATTCCTACAAACCACCTGTCACTATATGGCCACAAGAGGGCAGTATTCAAACCAAATGACTCCCTTCCACAACATAACCTTGTTCATTTTTTGATTTACATGCACAGACAAAGAGTGAACTTGACTTACCTATAATGATAGTGGGTCAGTCCTAGCAAGCCTCAGAAGTTAATCATTTTCTTCACTGCCTCCAGACACCTCCATTTGTCGGGTAGGTAGAAGGGTTCAAAGATGTGCGGGAAGGGGGTGTCGTAGCCGCAAACCCGCTGGATCGGGGCCTCTAAATGAAGAAAGCACTCGGCCTACGAAGGAAGAGAGACGATAAAAATACTTCAGCTTTCATGCCAAACAAACGACAAAATCAGAAATGCAGTTTAATATTTTGCAACAAATTTGCTCCAAAATCATTAATTTCAGTAAGTTTCTTGGTATGAAAAAAAAACATGGTTACAGCTTATTTCTACTGTTTCTCCAAAAGCGAAAACTGTAAAACTTGAATAATGGACTGGTTCTTATAAACCAGTTCACGTCGGATGACGTGTATACACGCAAAGGTTTTGTGTTATTCGGAACGGATGTCGAATAAACACGCAACGAGCGAGGCCAGAAATATCAAGGTGTGCTACCCACAGATGAAGGCCTGAACCCATCTGGCATTGAGGTTCGTGAAAAACAATCCTGCGCCTGCGCCCAGTCGATATTAAAATAATCCCGGCGCGAACTGGTTAATTAATTTGAAAACTTTAATAAACAACACCCATGAAGAAATACATTGACAACTGGGGAACTGCCAACACAGGGCTGGAAAGCTCAGTTGGTAGAGCACTGCTACAGCGTTCCGGAGGTCGCATTTCTGTGTTCAATATTTCTTAAACGCTTAATAAAACCTTCAAAACAATATATTTTAGTGTACTACACTTGTGTCACAAAAAAATATGGGTAACCACCAATGTTGCATACTAGATTTTGTTTTCGGAACTCATAGAGGTCATCAAACTGTGCTCCTGTGCGTCATTGTTTACTGCCTTGCCTGTTCTCATTAAAAGTGTTTTTTTTTCAGGTAAAGATCCCCAAAATACCCGCAAAGCAAGGCATCAATGCCACAAAATACCTAATGAAAGGTAGTAGATCAATTGCTGCTATCCAAAGAGTAACTGACAAAATCACTGTTGGATAGCTCACTTGGTTTAAAGATAGTAATGGCACTAAACTCCCTGTGAAATTATTCTTTCTGGCATGTTGTCAGTTTGAAAAAAATATAATAATAAATAAAAGCAGGCCATTTCCAGAGATGCTTCAAATGACGCATTTTTGGAAATTTCCGTTAGCAGTTGGTTTGTGATTCAGCTAATCTGTGAATGGGTACGCGCAGGTGTTGATTCGACGCACACGCGTGCGCGGTTGCTATTATTTGTCGGTTCAGTGCGTGACATCGCTTAACTGCAATTGGCTGAATGAGAAAAATGTCCCGGATGCTGATTTCGGGCGCAATTCAAAAAATGACTCACCAAGTTTTGAATTGAAAATCAAGAATCTAGAATATTTGTTTCTCTGCATATACAGCACTCACTGAGCTGAAACTTCATCAGGTTAGTTGTCAAGCACTCATTTTTAGATTTTGAGCACTTTTGTTGCTTCAAACGAAAAAAATGCACTAATGACAAATTATTTACCTTTAACACGTTACAAAAAACAAAAACAGGATTGAAATCAAGAAAGCCTATAGGAGGGTCAATTACCAGTAGGCCGACATTTTGAAAGTTTTCAAATACTTCCCTTTGGTTTCCGCATTTAATGGTTTCTAAATCACTGAAGAGACAGATAAGAAGCCAGACCTGTAGACAAAACCTAGGTTTCGGAAAGGGCCCAATTTTTTTTTCAAGGGATGATTCTCGGTGTTCACTGCATTGTTCTTTAAAAGCCATAGATAAGTCACAGCTGCGGGCAAATCCGCAGTTTTGAAAGAGGCCCTAATTATCTTCAAGACTGCATTCTTTGAATGTGAATGTTTACAACATGTTTCAGGAAACGGAGATGGAGCCGAAGCTGGAGGCACAGCCTCCAGCGTTTTGGGAAATGGCCTAACTCTCCCGTATCTTGGAATTCTAATCAACCTCCTTATCTGTGGAGGAGAAGTATTGGTCATTTACCTGAACTGTAGCGGCCACTTCTCCAGCAAAACCTCCAGTGATAGGGGCCTCGTGTGCCACGAGTAGCCTGCCAGTCTTCTTAACTGACTGCAAAAGAATTAACAACAAAAAATTCAAACAAATCTGAGAGATAAATTTATGTCTTCGGGGCTATGGGCATTCCTTTCTGCAGGATTGTAGTTTAATAACAAATGTTTTGAGAAAAGTAATAAAGGCAAAAATTCCTTTATACAGGACAATACCAACATTTTTCAAAACGAAGAAAACAAGTATGAAGTAATGTAAAACATTCAAAAGACAAGGAAAACCACCCCCAAAAAATAAGCAAATGTTATCTCAAATTTAGTTTTAAAATGTCCTTTTCTCAACAAAATATCCGTTTTTACAACACTGTTAAATGATTTGGTCAGTTTCTGTAGCCCTGACTCATAGCATGATTTACAAGGAACCGTACCTATCCTGGAAAAATCCAACACCACATAGGAAACTGCACACACATATTTCTGACTTTGATTCTGGAGGTGTGCCGACCCAATGTAAAAAAACTGTCAGTTTAGGGGTACCCATCCTGACAAGTTCCAACAAAACATGCCGTTGGGGTTTGATGGGTTGAGTTCTGTTAGGGTTAAGGACAAAAATGTAAATTGACCTTTTATCAAATTTTTCAAAATAATTTAGGAGAATTTATAGCCAAAGTCATCTCTCAGAAAACCTTTTTTCAGTTACATGGAAACAACCTGGATCGATTCCTTTTAGTTTAATGGTATGTTCCCATGACATTGTTTGACAGAATTATTGTTTTAATAAATAGCATCAATATTCTTGTAGTCTTAATTGGAAATTATCCGCTTGCGTGCAGCAGTGAAGTTCAAAGTCACTGTGTTACCATGCTAAAGTGATTCAAATCTCTTTCAATTTCATTTGTTTCAAAGCATTTTGCGCTAATTTATTGAAAAGTTCCGTTTGTTTGAAAACCGGCAAATATTGACACAGCGCTTCCCTCGTTTGATCACCTGTGTCAACTCGAACCCATAGAGTCACCAAACTGAACCATGGAAATTTGACAGATGCCGGGAAAATTATAAATTAAATTTGAAAGCTGAGATAAAATCCCACACAATGATGAAGGGCAAAATGAAAGCAAAAGTAATATCTGTACAAAAATTTATGATTAATGCTTTGATACAAAATTTTGTTGCCATAGCTGACTCAAATTGTTAATTTTTCTCTCAGTGACGCACATGAAATCTTTCTCAACAACAAATTAATTTATTTTATAGCTATACATATTTTTATAGTGCCAACAACAAAGATGTCATTGTTTGCATCAATAAAAACTGTTTCGGAAAGATTCCCATATCTGGCCATCACTTTCCACCCTGTGCACAAACCGTATGAGACTGGTCTGAAAATGTCTAAGTGTTTTCTCAGTAAAAACTTAAAAATATTCCCTGCTAAATTTGACTTTTTAGGACATATTATCACTTTCTGATGGCTGATAGGTCACTGAAGGGAAAAATTAGTGATGGCCAGATATGGGAATCTTTCCACTGTTGCAAATATCAACAGGACTGATGAAATGAGTACAGTGACAAAGTATCGGTCTAGTTCTTTCTGTGACTGAATTAGACCGTTGTCTAGTGTTTTTGTTTTGGTTTTCTTTACAATAATCACCATATCAATGATATTTAACCATAACCACCCCAACCCACCGAAATCTAACTGCATGTTTTGTTGGAATCTGTTGGAGTGAGTACTGCACTAGTAAACTGATTAAGCTTTACATGGGGTCAGGCATACCACCATAATCAGAGTCCAACAGTTTGGGTGTTGAGTTTACCATATGGGGTTGGATTTTGCAAGAGTGAGGAAGGTTCCAAATAAATCACTCCAGGGGTTTGGCCCTAACAAAAATAGTTCTGCTTCCGGTTTCCCTACCTACATTATTCTGACAGCCCCTACCCTAATTTTTTTAATGGGAAACATGAGAGAAAACACCCCAAACCATCAATTACTACCCTTGACTACACGCAGACCCTCCATATGATCGTACACACAGAAAATTGCCAAAAAAAAAAATCCCTACCTACCTACCCTATTTTCAAATGCCATGTAATTGGAAGCAGAACTATTTTTGGGGGGGCCCAAGGGTAAATGCCCCATTTAAGTCCAAAATGACAATTTCAAATGTTCATCTGCATGAAAACTCTTCATCTTTATGACAATTTTTCTTTCGCATTTACCATTAACGTGTCAGTCCATAAATGTGGGATCCAAAAGTGTGACATTCTGTGTGTCCCTGTTACACCTGACCTGTGTAATTTGCCATACAAGTATCATTAGAATTGACTTCAAACTATTTTTATTTAATATTTGGCAGGTACTTTACACATAATCACTCTCGGAGATAGAAGCATTTAAGAATGTGTCCTGAATTTACAAAATCTTATATCAGATGTAACAGGGACACGAAAAAAAAATTGCACCCCAAATCTATGGACGGACCCTAATAACAATGAAATAGACCCTTCCTAAATCTTTTCAAATATAATTTTTTTTTAACCAAAACTTAAATGTCTATATTTATTTTAGCAATGTTCTGGTAAAATTTGTCTGGTTTAGTAATAATTTCGACCCATTAAATCTGTATGCCACTTGATTTTTACTTGAAATTTGAGCCTCGGTCCAATTTTACAGGACACTATCTCTTGCGGGGCACTAATTCAATGAACACAGTGCACCACACCACGAAGTCAGGCCCAAATTTAATTAAGGACGATCGAAATGTGATTAAGAGAGACCCAAAATAGCAGTTAATCTGGGGGACGGTGTGGTTCGGCATACCCGTACTCCACGAGCTTGTGGATTAACTTGAGGATGAGGTCGGAATACAATAAATATTTTAAAGAGAAAAGCGGGGGCGGGAGGGGGGCGGGTTTGGTCAAAACATCAATAGACTTTGTCTGGAACAGCTTCAGGTGAGGGAATTAAAACGAATTACGAGATCCCAAATTTGAGATTAGTCACGTAGATGGTTTTCAATTATTATCATCAACATTGTCATTGTGCACAGAGTTGATTAGAATATATATACGTGCGTAAAGCAGACGGGCTTTATCGTAAAATTGGCTTGTAGCGCGGGGGTAATGCAATTATCCCGTTCCGTCAACAGTGTTGGAATTTGAATTCCCACAATAGCCTTAGTGGTTGATGCCAGCTTGTTTGTTTGGCTAGGTCTTACGTCAATGCCAAATCTGCCAATTATCATGCATACATGAGTCCTATCGGTAACGTAATGTCAATTGCTGGTGCAGATGGAGGTTTTTTTTTGAGAAACAAAAGGGTGATTTCCCCAACCAATATTCCCGTCCCTGGGGGTAAAATGTTGTTATTAAATTTTAAGATATATAAATATATATATTTTAAATTTCAAAAACATTATAAATATAATTTGGACTAATGAACCAGTGAAAACACTATGCAGAATGCACATTGTGTGTTCAAAGTGGAAAGCTTTTATTTATCAAATGTTTTGCTTTTACGAAAAAATTGTAAACAAAAAGGGGATCAGGACCCCGCCCCCTCAACATCCCCCGGCCAGACCTACTCCCCCCCCCCCCTCCAATCTGCCCCTGAAATGCATTTACGGCAAGTTTTTGGCCCTCTGCCAAGCCAATTGAGAGCAAGTGCATGAAGGCAGAGTCTGTAGAACTATCATCACATGAGGGCGCCACACACTTTCAACAGACAGAGTAGTCTTGTAATAAATACTGCCTAAACATCTCAATCATGTGTAGACTCACAGAACAGTCAGTGTGCATCATTGTCCAAAGTAAAGTTACTGGGGGGGGGGGGGGGTGGTTATTTAAATTCAGTGTCAATTCATGCCCATCATAGAGGAACAAAGACCGCAAGGGGTCGATTTAAGAAGGTTTATGATGAAATATGTAAGATGATAACGTTAAGCTTTTTAGACAAAAGACATGTTTACATCTTACATTTCTCCTTGAGCATCTATAAGTATATCATCAAATGACAGATCCACCCCCCCCCCACCTTTCAGCCAGCAGAGACAAATAAGCACACCCACCTTGCAAACTGTCTCCGCGTCCCAAGGTACGATCGTCTTCAGGTCGATGACCTCACAAGACACGCCCAGTTTCTCTTGGGCCAATCGGGCGACCTCGTGCATGACGTGGAGCTGGGTGCCCCAGGCAACGAGAGTGACATCGCTCCCTGATTGGACGAAAGAGTGTGTAAACAGAGACTGATTATGATAATCACTACTTCCCCCGATTGCCGGGCTTATACAAAATCAAGGTAACAAAACAAGCCTTACGACGCAACCTACAAACTTACCTTTTGCACCAGTGTACCCTGGTATATTGCAATAAAGTAGCTTGCTGAAGGACACAAAATCCATGAAAAATTGGGCTGAAATAAAATTTTAAATGCCCTGGCATCCTAGTAAAACATCCCGCCTAGGAACACAAAAGGTCAACTGTAATATATTCTGCTGCCAGTGAGCATCTCATGGTTGCAAGTTTTCAGAGTACGCAAGGTTTTTTTGCAGAAAAGATGTTTCTTTGGCTGCTGGTTCAGTTGTTCAGCCCGTCTTTGTTAGTCAGTCAGACTGTTTGTCTATCTGCCCATGTTTTGACTACAGTTCAATAGACCATTATCATGTTGCAGCTATTTGAGTTTCCCCATTCAAATCAGTGTAACCAAAGCAAGGCTGGAAGGACAAATAGTCTGGTTCCTTTTTGCACAAAAAACATTAACATTCAGTACTGTAATTGGATACAGGGAACATGACTGAAATGGTGGCAGCATGATAAAGGTCTATTCTACTTGAACATTTTCCTGCAATTGTCAAGCTTTTTGCAACTCACCTTCCACCAGTACTTCTGCCTCTTCCAGCGGTATCATGTAGTCTCCGACAGGGACCTGCTCCACTGAAAAAACAGAAGAAGAAAAAAGTTGAGTCAGGTTACTAGATTACTCTTTCATGTGTGTTGGTTAGAAGTTGCCTCGTGAGTGTACAGTGATCTCGTGCCCTCATTTGTCTATATGAGGCCAAATTGACGAACATTTCCATTTGAGGTTGACATTTATTTATAACCCTAACCCTGCCAGACGCAACACAGTGCATCAGATGGAAAAGAACTGGTGCACTTGATGCATTCATCTACCAACACCAGTGCATGAATGGCCAGCTCTGAAACAATGAGAGCTAAGTCCCACTGAACAATGCCACAGTTGTATCCTGCTGCGTGCGGTGACCTCAGACTCTGAGGCAGTGTGGCCTTGAGACTTTTCCCCTGATGGATCTTGCTACATTTGGCAGGCTTGTCACTTTAAGCGTTGCAAGTTGCTACGTCTGGCAGGGTTCTGGCAAACATACCCTGGAGGGTTAGGGTTAGAGGCTTGTAAATGATTTTTGGACACAGAGTTTGAAAACCTCCAATGGGTAGATCCAGTGAACCATCACCTACCTGCTGCTCGGTACAAGACCTTGGGTTCGAAGAATATACAGGGATTCTTGTCTCGTATACAGGACAGCAGGAGGCCCTTGGCTTGTATGGGGCTCCTGGGTATCACAACCTTTACAAAAAAAACAATGAGATGTGATCAAATTTATAGCAATGGGACAGAATACAATAATTTATTTCAGACATTTCTAACATAAACATGTACCTTATACTGCAGTGAGGATCTTGCCATGTCGCAGTACAGAACAATGTGCTAAAAAAAACAGTCTTCAATTTAAGAATAGTCACAAAGTTTTGCCGAAGACAACAAAAATTTCAGGCAACTTTCACTGGAACAACACTTAAAGAGTAACTACTTAATCAATATTTTAAAAAGTTTATAATGAGTCTTATTTAAAATTTCAGATAGGAAAAAATCTTTGTTCCCTTTTTATTTTAACAATTTTTTTTTGCAATTGAGAACTGATAATCATGCTGCTGCTTTCAAATTTTCAATTGCCATTAACCTTAACCCTCTTGGACTCGAACCCACAACCTGCAGAATTACCAGAAGACCATGGGTTCAACGCTCCAGACCCCGGGGCCCACATTTTGAGATATTCAGAATGGTACCAAATAAAATTACTGAGTGAGTTTAAGAAATATTTACAGGGATTGCACCGACCTTTATGCCCGGTACGTGGGAGAAGAAAGCCTCAGGTGACTGTGAGTGGTACAGGGCCCCGTGGCCCACAGCCCCCCACGGCGCTCTGATCGTCAAACCTCCGACGTCAAAGACATTGCCAGAGCGATACCGGAACTTGGCGGCTTCATTCACAATCTGTGAAAATACGACAGAAGAATTTATACAAACTTGTGTTTGACAAAATTAAGACAAGGCGAAAACCTTTTTTTTAAGCTTGTGTAAAAGGGTGCAGGGTAAGGGCTATCTACCATTTTGGGGGCGGGGGAGGGGGGGGGAGAAGTGAAACAGCTGTTGAGGTTATCCACTTATAATTGTCAACTTAGATGATCAATTTAACTTTTTTAAGGTTTTTACTCTAAAATCTTCAGAAATCTTTTTGATTTGTTTTAGAGTGAACTTAACTAATTCTTCATCATGACCTAAACGCAAATGCCTGAATGCTGTACCCTTGATCCTCAAGCCAAAGGCCTGATTCAGACAACCGCGAAAAACGGGATTTGAACCTTGCACCTCCCTAATATAAGTCCAGTTCTTCGGGGGACACAAAACTCTTTGCCAGACTGATTGGACACAGCAAAGTGGCAAGGCTAACCTGATCGAAAGCTGGATAGATATAATCGGCAAACTGGATCTCTGCAATAGCTGTCGCACCGACGGACGCCATGCCGATACCGAAGCCCACGATGCCTTGCTCACACAAGGGGGTGTTGAACACTCGGTCTTTGCCTGTGGATGAAGAATTCAAAATTAACGTAGAATAAACTATTAAAAAAAAACTTTGCACTTGGCTAGATTGTCAAACTGCTTCTTGTTAGCCAAAGTGTTAAAACACTTAAACACAGCTGGCTACACTTAACCATAAGACAAACAGTGCATTAAAACCCAAGTTTCTACATTCATAAATTGATTTGCTTTCGAGTCAACTCGTACCTTGGGCAACTCGTACCTTGGACAACTCGTACCTTGGACAACTCGTACCTTGGACATCTCGTACCTTGGACAACTCGTACCTTGGACGACTCGAAAAAATGTTGCAACCTGACGCCACTTTTTTCTTCATATAAATCATCTCAATGATGGTCATTCATTGCAAAAATGGAGGTAAGACGTGAATCTTGGATAAAAACATCAGTTCCATAATATTTGCACGTAGCCTAAGTCTCTAAATGTTAACGGCAGACTGCATCAAAAATGTCACCGTGCACAGACGTCCATATTAATCGGTCAGCGCGGCGCAAGAACCGTGTCACTTTGCACGGATGGCTACCGTAGGTTGACCGCAAACGTGGGCCTGTGCATGCTGCGCACACAGTGCGTGTAACCTGCCGCGGCCGGCTTCGCGCTAAATAAATTCCTCTTTTGGGGGGAAAGAGAGCTCATTCCAAAAAGAGATTCGCCTTTATTTTAATAAGCAGTCCACTTTCAATGAGTTACGGTCCACTTTATTCAGCCTCGGATCATTATCCCGACTGATGGTACGACTTGACTTACGGGTGATGGTACGAGTCGTCTTAACTGAAGGTACGACTTGCCAAAGGTACGAGTTGTCCAAGGTACGACTCGGTATAATGACGTCGAGTTGGAGGTACGAGTTGTCCAAGGTACAAGTAGCCCAAGGTACGAGATGACCTGTTACCATTGATTTCACTCACCATATTTATCAGCTAGTCCAACTGTACACCTGAACACTCCACCGAATGCAACATCCTCTCCAAAGATGACTGTAAAATAACAATAAAAATGATGGGAACATCTTTCCTTATCATCTATGCTGCAAGAAGAAGTTTGACGTAAGTAAAATACTGCCTTACTCATCAAGTTCAAATTACCTGCTGTCTGATCAGTACTCAGGGCAATGTCCATGGCACTAGTCAATGACTGAAATAGGTTCATCTTTGTTGTCTCCCCTGTAAAAATAGGAAAAGAGTCAATAGAGTGTGCATAAGGCATTATCAGTTTTCAACAGTTCTTTATTTTTATCAAAATGTGACTTAAATTAAATTTTCGCAGCAATTTGTACAAAGTCATAATGCTATGATGAACCAAGTAAAAATCTAAACATTTTTTATTTAACTTAACTTAAGCAAAGAAAGGTTAGTAAAATACACAACAGGGTCGGGACGGGGGGGGGGGGGGGTCATTTGGAGTGCTGGGATGCAAAATGTAGGCCTAATTAAAAAAAACAGTTATCAATTAATTTTGGGCCACAGATCTGGGTAGGCATAAAAAATTAAACGAAGTGGCTATCGTTACGGCATTCGTTGTTTAGCGCCCTCTACGATACTTTTTTGATACGCACGCAGGTATATAATTATTTGTTTCCCCACGTTTCGGTAAGCAGTGCGACAGACAGCTCAGTCGATAGAGGGTAGGATTTTGCACCGCGAGGTTGCGGGTTCGCATCTCAGTTTTGCACTCGAATTTTTTTCCTTTTCTAACCTGAGGCTTTGGAGGATTTTATTTTAAAGGGAAATAAAGTCCGAATTTCATAACGTTCAAATTTACTTTTTTCCTTCTAATTTATATTTTCTTCTCATGTTTTTTTAAACAAGTTGCAGTACTAGCGTAACGATAGAAAATGGGAAATGCGTTAGGCTACGGCTGCCGTAACAATAGCCACTGCGAAAATTAAAAGCAAATTTTGAAGTCTTACGAAATTGTCACGAATTAGATGCAATGTTAATTACAACTGACGAAGAAAGTCGAACACGTCAGAAGGGCATGTTGAGCTTTAAAATTGTCTTACCGAGAGTATCTGGGGGCGAGTCTGGAACAAATGTCCAAGCAGATGCATTCCTGCACACGATTGCTGCATTCTGACTGGGCAGACGTCGAAGCGTTGAGCTCTTTTCCCGTGATATTCTGCACAAACTCTGCAAAGTTCTTCGAAGAGCTGCCATTTTCGTGGAGTATTGTTGTAGCGCCCCCGTGCGGCTCGGAATTGAAAGGCCACGTCTGCTCCAATTTAGGGCGTGGTGGGGGGGGGGGGGGCCGCGGGGGGGGGGGGGGAGGGAGGTAGACTCGAGCCCATGTGAGAGGGGTAAATAAACAAACAAACACAGGGCATGCTCCAATCTTTTAAATCATGTATGGGGAGCATTTCAATTTACTTTTAAGTAGGTTCAGGGAAAAAATTGGATATGGAAAATAAAAATAAGATGGCATCCCCCCCCCCAAAAAAAACACCTTAATTCACCAATTTCATCTGATATAATTTACTCCCTCATGAAAATTTTATCCCAGATAATCAATATTATTTGTCACAACATATTTTAAAATTCATCACAACAGAACTTTTTTTATGAATTTATTTCAAAACATATATTTATATTTGTCAAATATTATAAGTAAAAACATCTAGTAACCATGTTTATCTGCCTTTCTTAATACATATCTCCACGTCTTAAATGTTTAAAACCTTGTTATCTGTTTCTTTTTATAAAAGTTCACATAATTTGTCAAATTTCAGTACTTAAAAATTTCAGTTCTTATACAAGACTTTTACATACAAACTTGTCAATAATCGTTCACGTAATTATCAATAGTTCTCACTACTATACTGTGAAGATATCTTTAAATAGATACTGGCACATCAAAACTCTAAACTACAATTTTAAAATTTAAATTAAAAATCACACCAAATATGTACAGTGAATAAAAATTGTTTAAAAAAAATGACTCCTGTATCCTAGGACAATATAAACAACTTCTTAGAGTTAACTTGAAAGCCAAAACTTTTGTAGCCTTGTAGCAAATTCAATGGACAAATTTGAACACAAAGCCTAATGTAAAATTCAGTTATTAAAATGGTCTGAGTGGACTTTTTTTTTCTAGTTGGGGTTTAAAATCAAAATGGCAACAAGACCACTAACTGGCAGTGGTTTAGCAATTCTCTTTGGAATAAATTTGTAGATATCTTGGAAATTTGTGGTCAGTGTCTTATTTGGAAATAAATGGATCACTTGAGACCTTTCATAATACAATTGGTACCAAATTTATTTGAGCGTAAATTATTTTAAGTTAGTCTAAAATATCCAGTGAGCTAGTACAAATTCCTAACTTGCCCAGTGGGATAGTATTAGTATCGAAAAAGCTTAAGGTTGAGGCCTCAGATTTTACAAATTCATTTTATCCCCAGTCATTTTTTAAAATCTATTTCTGGTCAGATTACTTTGTCCTCTTATCTTTGTCTTTAACTTAATTAACTAACTATTTGAGTATTTCATGTCTATGTTCTCTTTTCTAAAGGCACTCCGCTACAAGCCTTGGCTTATAAGGATTGTGCCTCCACAATATTGTATTTTGCTTTCTACTATGTTATTGTTCAATATGGAAATAAATGTAATATTGAATGAATTGAATTGAATTAAAAACAATTTATCTTGAGGTAAGTATTCCGTGATGATCAGATCAATATACAGATACAGCCATTACAATTGCTGAGATCAAGAACCACAGGGCCGCGCCCACGGTCACGCCCCCGTTACAGACTTTTGGATCCCTTTCTCCAGTAAAACAAGGTATCTCGACCCCTTCAAGACACTTCCCGTCAGGGTACCCCTCCTTGAGTCCCGCGTCGATGCCGCGGTGGACAGCCTCGAAGGTTTCCTTTGTCGGATCCTGGAAGGCCCCAGAGTCTATGTTCACATTATAGATTGTGAAATTGCTGAAAGTGCCATCACGATTGAGAAAGATGATATACTTCTTCCCCCGGATGAGGTCATGGAAAGTACACAGCGCTTCCTCTCCCACAGTGATGTTTTCAAACTCGACGTAATGGTCGGTGGCGTTGGTGTTATGCTCGCCTTCTGTTTCCCTCCTTGTACGGTCGCTGGGCTCGGAGGGCACTGGCCCTCGTTTCAGCCAGCACAGGGGTTCCACAACGACCCAGTACCTTTGGCTGATGTCAAAACCAGAGTCCGGGTCTGGGTAGTGATCGCTGACCACCGTGCCGTAGACTACCCACTGTGGCTTGCTGGCTCGCTCCTCTATCGACTGGGATTTCCAACCTTCGGGTATGCTGCAGGCCTGGGCAATGCCAACAAGTGCCAGTAAGGCAGAAAGGACTACAAAGGAGCACATCATTAGTTGAATTCTGTTAAAAAAAGATAAAGAAACATACTGAAATCAAAGAGTAACAATAAAAACAAACATAGTAAAGAATAAAGTGGAATTTCAATAAGTCAAACTCTGATAACTCAAAAACCCTTTTAACTCAAAGTAAAAACATTTTCCCATCAATGTTGTTGAATAGACAATCCATTGGATAACTGAAAATTTGAGCAAATTCCCCTGTTTGACTTTATATCCAGATTCCACTGTACACATCACAATACATTGTATTACTTTTTGTTGAAGAGATTTGTCCAACAAAAACAATGATTTAAATTTACTAAGAATATTCTAAACTGATCTACTCCCTTCACATACAGTTCAGTTCCGATTCTTTACTCGCATAAAATGCACCATAAAAAGAATAAACAAATTGCATACACATGTACATTTTGATTGCCAGAATAAACAAGGCCTCAACCCCCCCCCCCCCCCCCAAAAAGAGACACATACAAGCACACACAATCACATTATCGTTTCATACAAACATTTCATCGCCCTATAATTTTTATAATTAAACAAAAACAGGGAATGTGGCATCTACCACTATGCCTTACCTCGACAGTTACGCTAGATACATGTAGTTAGGCTATACAGTTCTTTGTTGTCACTGTCAGTGTCCGTGGTTTACCCACTCGATATGAATTTTGCCCAAGAAAAATCAGGCCTCTCGTTTTTATAGCTGTGAGAACCGCTGAAGTTTTGCTGCGGTAACACTAGACAGTTCCGAGTACCGACTGGTACAGAATGACAATAGCGCATTGACTATAGCCTCAGGAATGTGTTTATTGAGTTCACAAAAATGATAAAAACTGCATCACACACTGTGTAAAACATGCACTGACCTTGTCCTTGTAAACAAACAATACTTTAGGGCCACCATAAAGCAATTATAGGCTTCTTGTACTTTAGCCCTCACTTTACACTCCTTACCCAAATTTATTTATAGAAAGTTCAAAATAATTTTTTCAAATAGGTTAAATTAAAAAAAATTGTATTCTTATACTATTTCACACTCGTTTTGTGTGATATTTGTTGTACATGGATAAAAAATTATCATTATAGTAGGGGTGGGAAACATAATTTTCAAAATGTCTGTCTTTGTTTGGGGAGACGTGCAAATTATTTGCACCGCGCAGTTCAAGTGTCTTTATTATCTATTTGGTTGTGCGAATCAGCTTTCAGAATGAAGTACACGTAGATATCAAATGCATACTTTTTACAAGCCCAAGTGAGTCGTTGCTATGGCGTGGAATATAAATTTACCAATTTGCCCACTTCTTCAACGATGAGAAATTAACCAGAAAAGATTATGTTTATCTACCTTTATTTCAAACAACGTTTTTTTTTTAAAGGGAATATACAACATTTGCAAACATTGGAAAACAAAACTACCAAATTTTTACGAAATACCTTAATAGGATGTTGGTAAATGAAAGTCTAAAGCATCCTGTAAAATTGTGGCACCTGGTGTGAAGTCATTTTCAAGAAAAGTGGTATTTTGTATAAATTTCCAACGGTGGTCGGCCGAACACCGTTGGAAAAACCTAACTATTTTTCAACTACTGCTCCAAATTTACCCTTTTTCAGTCCAAATTTTGTTTGCTATTGGTTACATGTTCATTAACGGGTGCAGGCCAGCTAGACTGGTTTCCTTACCTTACAATTTTCGGGCATCTATAAATTGATTCATTTCATCTTTAGTGGAGTCAGGGAACCAGACTACTTGAACATTTTTATTTTTCTTGGTTTTTCCAGCATTTTCGAACACAAAACTTCAAACTTGTCAGTGTAACAGTATTTGATCTATTATACTAACCCCTCAAATGGTTCATTTTTGAAAATTACAGCAAAAGCCAATGATGTACATTCCCTTTAAGTACAAAATATTCTTGCGTCCAGAGGTAGTAATGATATGCACATCGAAGCTATAAACTACAATTTTAGAATTTATATCAAAATTTCCACTACTGATTTACATTTCAACTGTGAAATCGTATAAATCTTATATTTAAAATCTTAAGCTACACTCTGCATACATGTACATAAAATGATAAATTGTTTTAAACTGAACCCTGACTACTGAGACAATATCAAACAAATTATTGGATCAACACGATACCAAATTGCGTGCAAATTCATATGACAAAAAATATAACAAAGTTTCGGGTAAAAATCAGTAGTTGGAATATTTTTTCTTTGATTTAGTGTGTTGGGGTTTCAAATAAAATTGGCGGCAAGACCACAAATTGGCAGTTGTTTGGCAGTCGTACATTTTTTGCTAGAAAAATATAAAGTTCTAAGAAATTTATGGTCAATGTCCTTGAAAATAAACCAGTCATATGTAAACTTGCATGAACATACTGTTGGTACCAAATTCATTGAGCTTTTTTAGTCCCAATAAAAAAAAGTATGAAACACACACAAATAAGTGCAAAATACACAAGTAAAGGTCAAGTAATTGGCAATCACGTTGTCGTACACTGGTTGTTTTGGATTAAATATTTTGTTTATACAGATTCATTTTTAGTAAAGATTTTTAAGTTTTAGATTAAAAACAATTTATCTTGAGGTAAGTATTCCCTGATGATCAGATCAATATACAGATACAGCCATTACAATTGCTGAGATCAAGAACCACACGGCCGCGCCCACGGTCACGCCCCCGTTACAGACTTTCGGATCCCTTTCTCCAGTAAAACAAGGTATCTCGACCCCTTCAAGACACTCCCCCTCAGGGTACCCCTTGAGACCCGCGTCGATGCCACGGTGGACAGCCTCAAAGGTTTCCTCTGTCGGTTCCTCAAAGGCGCCAGACTCCGTGTTGATATCGTCGATGGTGAAATTGCTGAAAGTGCCCTGAGTGAGTAACAAGATGTACTTCTTCCCCCGGATGAGGTCGTTGAAAACACAAGGGGCTTCCTCCGCGACGGTGATGTTTTCAAACTCAACGATGTGGTCGGTTGCGTTGGTGTTCTCGGCTGCCCTCCTTGTGCGGTCGTTGGGCTGGAAGTCAACTTCGGGCCCTCGTTTCAGCCAGCACAGGGGTTGGACCACGACCCAGTAGATCTGGTTAACACCCGTACCGGCATCTGGCGGTGGGTACTGATCGCTGACCACTGTGCCGTAGACTACCCACTGCGGCACGCTGGCTCGCTCCTCTATTGACTGGGATTTCCAATCGTCAGTTAGGCTGCAGGCCTTGGCAATGCCGATGAGTGCCAGTAAGGCAGCAAGAACTTCAAAGGAGCGCATCATCATTTGAATTCTGCAAAAATAAGGTAATCGAAAAATATTGAAATCTCAGAGTTACGAACGTAATATTAAAGAATGCATAACAAGGCATTGAAATTAAAGTTTATGAAGTTAGTCTTTCAAAAATCAAATACATTTTGCCAAATATAACATTAACACGGATGTGAGAGTCCTTCACATCACATACAGTTTGTTTGCCAGAACAAAACAAGACAAATCCCCCCCCCCCCCAAATAAGGAGACCGCACTCACACATTATAATCACACTAGTGACTTGTTTTAGAAAAACGGTTGACAATCATAACTGAATCAAAGAAAGTGTTATACGCCTTTAGTACGTACCTCGACATTTAATTGTCTAGCTGCTGTGTCGTGCCTGTATGATAATGAAGGAACTTTTTGCACCAAAGAAATCGGGTCTTCAGTTTTTAATAGCCTATTGTTTTGCTTCGGTGTCAGGCAGCTCCGAGTACCGACAGGTACAGATGACAAAAGGGCGGTGACAATAGCCCCAGGAATGTGTTCTGTTACTAGACTGCCTGGATTTCACAGAAATATAATGACTTATAAATGCATCACGAAGCGCTAGTGTACTAGTGGACTGACTGCTAGTGTTAGTGACAAAATTAAATGACCTTGTCCTCGCGCGTGCAGCCACAAAAAAAGCTATGATTGGTTTCTCGTACTTTTAGCCTTCACTTTACATTCCTCACCCTGCTTCACACAAACAAGTTAAAATAGTTTGAAAGTTCATCAAATATTACAAAATTGATATTTTATTATCTTTTCGCAGTCATTTTGTGTGAAATTGGTTTTACACGAGCAAACTTAAATAGTTAAACTAGTTCTGAGGAACATAATTTTAATAGTGTCTGTCTTTGTTTGGGTGGGACGTTTGTGTTTTACACCGTGCAGTTAAAACGCATTTGTTTTCGATTGGTTTGCGCGCAACAGTTTCTGAATGAGGTACACGTTGTAAGTGGTACAATTAATTACATGTACACTTGCTAGACTCGATATATCGACGAGGTGAGTGTGATGGGTAGAATCATAGAATGTAGACACCGGATTTTCGACCGGAAATCCCAGGAAATTTGACCTTGTTTTGAGCCTTGCAAAGGGTCAGTTGTCGATAGTATCCAAAGTTCATCTATCACGGCGTTTTCCATATTATTTTTGTTTTCTGTGCCCCACCTATATCTGGCATTGTTCTGCTGTGTTTTCTGCTGATGAAATAAGTTGCTTTTTCATCCTCGAGATGTTTTATAATAATTAAATTAGCATCTTTTAAAAACAACTATTTTACTCTTTGTATTCACTGTAAGTGACTTAGAATTTTGTAATTTAATTTTTTTTAAGGAAGCAATGGCTCTGACGGCTGCAGAGAGACAAAGAAGGCACCGCCTTAAGATGAAAGCAGAAGGCCGGCAACCGAAACAGAGAAAGCAACCAGCAGTGATCAGCCCGGAGGCAGCGACTGAGAGAAGACAGAAAGCAACCGAGCGAAAGAGAAGATGGCGACAGGCCGCCAAGAATCATTCCATCTCGACTCTGCCAATAAATGCTGTTGCCATGGAAGAGGAATTCCTCGTTTCCGAGCACGAGCCAGGGATGCTGTTGGATACCAATGGAGAGATTGTGGAGCATCTGAAGGAGGCAGGAAGTGTCCTGGTGAAGGAGGAGCCAGAGTTGCAATTGGAGTTCAGCGGATCAGTTGTCGAGGAGGCAATGGATGACAGCGGACTAGACTTGCGATTGCCAAGAGCTGACGAAATTTCAGATGTTGATGGAGAAGTAAAAGGCACTGATGCGATAACCAGGGAGCCATCTGGAAATGGCAACTTGTCGTTGGATGCACTGATAGCACAGCAGCAGTTGGAAAAACGACGCAGGAGCGCAGCGGAGCGCCAACGCAGGCATAGGAGCCGGCTCCGGGCAGAAGGCAAATACGAACAGCACAAGCAGAAACACAAGGCCATCTGTGTGAGGCACCGGACGAAGCGGAAGGAACAGGAGATAGCTCTGCCTGAAGGGGTACGGGAAGACGTGGTGGCCAAACGGCGGGAGGGTAACAGGGTGCGAGTGGCGCGACACAGGGAGAGAAAGAAAAACGAGAAGCTGGCTTTGGAAGGGACACAAGAACCAGTGTTTTTAGACTGTCCTGAATCTGGGGAGGCAGTATTTAGATATATGTTCCCACGCCACAATGTTCTGAGGGTGACAACTCCAGCACCTGAGATGGAAAATTCTGACAACAGCATCTTGCCACACCCCTTGCCACACCCATTGCCACACCCAGAACCACACCCACCTCATGCAGCAACCTTTGCAGTCCAGACAGATGAGGGTGACACTTCAATCTCGGCTTCTGTATCTGTCGGCTCCAACCTGTACGTGCCACGCCCAGAAGGCGTCCGAAATCAGACCTGGCAGGGAAAGTGCATGGGCAGAAATGAGACGCAATCCCACGTTGCTGCATCTGAATCTGATTATCGTTACATCACCCCACCCATCTGGCCATGCAACAGCAGCAACCAGAATGGCAGGGGTCGGTCACCAATGAAAACTATGTGGTCAGATCATGACAATGAAAGGCCGGGGACCAGCCAACTTCACCAAGGTGGAAACAAAGGGGAAATTGATCAGGTATTAGTCCCTTTTAAGTTTTACAATATACATGTAGTGACCATAAACCCCTTCAAAAGCAATTGAAATATAAAATCAACAAAAACACCTTTTTTTTGAAAAATTATTGTTCCACATTTAGATTGCGACAGGGTTTGACCAAAATCACACGGATGTGGATCACCCCAGTGTGGACGATGCTGATATGCCACAAGAACTGCAAAATGAAGTTGACGCGCTGCAGCATCAGTCGCCGCTAGTGTACAATTACATGAAGGTACGTAACAATAGCAACAACATGTTTATTCAAAGTATCGAACTGTTGTCTTAGTTATTGGAAACATGTATTATATAATGTATTTTTCAGTCATTACAATGTCATTTGTGTCTTTCATTTACAGAAACTGCAGTCAGACAATAGTCAACTCGGGACAGAGAATCGACGACTCCGAAAGCAGACCCTCTGCCTTGATGGAATCAGACAGAACAAAGCCCTCTTCAAGTTATGGACCGAAATTCTTAAAAACTAGGAAATATTTTAAGCTCATATATATATTTTTTTTTGGGGGGGGGGATGGGGTGCATACAGGCCCGTCGTCAAGAGGGGACCCAGGGGGGGCTGGGCCCTCCCTGACGAGGCCCCCCCCCCCTCTAATACCAAGAGCTGGCGACAGGCCTGGGTGCATACCTATGTTCCCCAATACCTATATTCCCCAACCCTAACCCTAAGGATTTTGGGGAACATAGGTGTTGGGGAACATTGGATAGACCCTAGGGGGATGGCGTATAATACAACTCCAGTTATTTCACAAGAAAGCCCCATCTTTCATGTTTATTTGTCTTTATTTCAAAGCAGTGCTGTTTGAAGTACAAAATATTCTTGTACATTGTTCAGCTTCAGTACTATTTAGTTGACAATACAACATTGATAAATTCAGACTGAAAATGGTGGACAAGGTTGTATAGTTAAGTACTGGATTTCTTTTTTATCTCAAGATGACAAAAAGTAGTTGCAAAATAAATACGTCAAACAATTTTGTAACCCTCTCTGCTGTGTTGTGCAAAGCAGAATCCATTCAGAGTTTATGACGCTTCCATAAAATGACAAATTGACACAATTCAGAACTTCCTATGAGGAATGCAGTATATCTTGCCATCCATCTCTGGTAACTCGGGTTCGAATCCAACCCAGTGCACACTGGTTTCTCAGCTGTTGGTTGATTATCAAGGTTTTTCCTGCAGAATTAACACTGAATTTTTACATACATGTTTATATTTTGAAAGCAGAAGGAATGTATTTTGATAAAATTTCGAGAATTCTGTGTATTATGTGCTATTGGTGGCTAGCTACAGAACCAACTTTGTACTAGGATCTGTGATTTTAGTCTAGCACTAAAATTGAGTGTTCTTTATCTGGTAAGCTTTGCATGTGTCTTGGTGAAGTACTCGAAGAGTGAAAAACATACAGAACTTTTCAAAATTAGAGTCAAGAAGTGAAATGTACTGGGTCTAGTGCCATTTGACAAAAGTGATTACATGTAGTTTACATATGTACTTCCTATCTTGTGAATATGCATGACCAAAATAGTTAGTTCACAACTTAGGTGTCCTAAAAGTACAGACTGAAAGCGAACTCATCCAGAGATGACAATTCCATATAACATGATATAGTACAATGTACGTGGTTTCAAATAAAGTTTAACACAAATTCACATTTTTCTCTGTTGTCTATTTCAGTAACTCTGGACCAGAAAGTGAAAAGAAAGCACAAAAAACACCAAAATAAAAATAAATAACACTGAAAATGCTGTCCCGGTTCAAGGATAGGTAGAGTTCCTGCAAACTTTCTACCAAATATTGTGGAGGGACAACTCCTGGTCTATTGACACCAAAGTTTCCTTCAATGTTTGATGCATTACTGTAGAAAAACAAATACTGCAGAAGCGCTTTGTTCTTTGATGTGCTATAAAGAGCACAGAACATTTAACCATAAAACACATCATTTCACCAGAACAAATGAGGTACACACACAACAGACTCAATTAAATTACAGATTGTGTGATTGGATGCTGGTTGGAAAGCCTGCCACTACTGCCAATATCACCACTAGAGGGCGCTGTACAGCCAATTAACTTAATTCTTCCAAAATTCTCAACAGTTGGACAAAAATTCACGCAAATATCCCTTTCTTCCTAATCTGTTTCCTAGAAAACCATTCTCCACCCTTTTTCACAACTGCAGCAAAGATAATCTTTTTTTTTTTCAAGTCCAGCAATTAAAAAAAATATTTGCACTTTGCAGAACACATGATTTCTTACTGCTGTAGTAATGCTGTTAAGATATGAATCGATTGCAAAGCATGATTGTTTCTCAAAATAAGAGCTACAGAGAAGTTTGTGCTATTCAAGATGATTGATATGCTTGTCAATCTTTCTCATTTTTACACTTTTACATACAGCTTTGGATAAAATATATTCATAAATAGTATAATATTTACACAAGGTCTGTACATCTAAAAAGTGAAAGGAATACAAGATTTTCAGAGAATCACTTCTTCTATGTCGTCAATATCATCCAGGCTATCGTGAGACATATTCATGGCGGCTTTTGATGCTGGGGGACCCTTGTCTTTGACGCCATTTGCCACTGCTGGGTTTGTGGCATTCGCCCCTCCCCCAATTTCAACCTTTTTCTCCCACGGGTAGGAGACAGGCTTCGCCTTGGTCGAGGAGGTGAAGACATTCTTGTCGTCGCCAAATGAGGACTTGGTTGATTTCTCCTCGCTTGGGCTGTCGCAGAAGACAGTCGCCATGAGGTGGGCTCTCTTGTCAGGTTGCGAGGCGGCCGGTGTCGGCTTCGAGAACGGATCACCCTCATCATCCTCGTCATCAAAGAAGGACTTCTTCTTGGGTTTCTGGGCAGCCTTGCTGCTGGTGAAGGTCGGCGCGTAGCTTCCAAACGCCAGCGCATCGTCCTTCTTTGCTTTTGTCGGGGCCGCCTCATCCGGGTGAGAGGGGATCCCGTTGTGGAGGTTCTCCACAGGCTTGCTGAAATTGTAGTTCTTGTGGCTCTTGCCCGAGTCAGGCTTCTTGCCGTCGTCAATATCTCGCATCCGGGCCAGGAGGAGGTCCTTCTTGCGACGCTCCTCGGCCAAACGCTCAGCCTCCTTCTCCTGATCTGCAAGACAAACATTTCCAATCAATAAATAAGACTGACACTATTTCCTTGATGTGGGTTCGAGTCCAACCAGGGCGACTGTTTTGTCAATTCTGAACTGACCAAGGTCTAAACATCAGAAATAGTTTAACGTCTTCCTCCTCAATTTTAATCTCTGATGGGTAAAGGCTGGCAGAATGTGACTTCAATTTCAGGTTCGATTCCAACCTGTATAACTGGATTCTAAATACCTGACCAAGAAGGTCTCAATCATCTGGAGTTATTTTCTGTTTCTCACTTGTAAACACAGATGAGTCAAGTTGGCAAAAAGTTTTCATCTTGATGACCACTGTTCAAATCCTAACCAAGCCAAAAATTGGATTGAGTTTTATTTTCTGATATGTTTACTTTTTTTGGTAGCTTGAAATGAAAAAATGGGTGATAGTATCCTCCATGGTAAAACATTAATTTGACATTGTAATTAAAAAAAATAAATACAGATTGCCTTTATGAATAAAATCTATTAAGCTCTCTCTACAAAAAAAAGCTGACGAGGCTCAAAAAGCTTAGCAGTGAAAAAAAGCAGTGAAAAAGCAGTGAGGGAAGTTAGTCAGACCAAAACATGAAAAAAGTAAAAACAACATATATACCAGCGTTGTTAGCTTGATTCTGCCCAAACGTTCCCCCCTCGTCTCTGCCCCGTTTCGGGGAGCCGCTGATGTCGCCACGTGAGTACTTTTGTAGATCTCGGACGCTGTTGACAGCATAGGGCGGGGTCTTGGTAGTGGGGGGTTTCTGCGCCTCGGTTGGCTTGGATCCAAAGAAGGGAATGTTTTCTTCAGCATCATCCCCTGGTGAGTTGTCGAAATGGGGCGAGTAGCTGGTATCCTGAAGGACTGTGTCATGAGGGTGAGATGGGTGAGTTAGCAATCAATTAAGCAGCTAACTAATCAGCAGTAAGGAAACTTTATTAAACCCTAACCCTCCTGAATCCTCCAAAGTCCTCCGGGCGGTTTTTGGAGGATTTTGAAGGATTTGAGGATGAATGCAACATACAATTTTGGAGGATTGTGGAGGATTGAGGGCACATGGACATTCAGTATCGGTTGATTTTGGAGGATTGAGAATGAATGGTGTTTGAAGAGGAGGATTTTGGAGGATTTTGGAGGGTTGAGGCTGAATGAATTTTGAGAGGCAGGGCTGTTGGAGAATGTTGAAGGATTGAGGCAGTGGGTATCCTTCAATTTCAACATACATGTAAGTGCAATAATTTGGCAGATTTTGGAGGATTGAGGATGGTTCCTAGCAAAAAGGGCCAAGGGGGTTAGGGTTACTAAGCAAAAAAATGACACTAATCTTTGTGAATAAGGCAACTGGTTATGTGAATGTTCACACTTGCATGATTTCCATTTGCGCAGCCGTTTTTATAAGCAATGAGCCTCTGTACTGATGACGTCACACTTTGTTTACATGTGCACTTTCCTATGGAGCCAGTGGGGGCCCACGGTCCATTGAGCACAATTGGAAAGCACACATGTAAACAAAGTGTGACGTCATCAGTACAGAGGCTTATTGTTGCTAGTGAGTTAGTTTACACTCATTTGTTTTTCAGGTTTTTTTTTTATCTTACCTTCTTTTTTCTTCCTTTCTCTCTCCTGCTGAACAAAAGGAAAACAATAAAAACAAATTATGACTTAAAAATATAACTTTAAAAAAAATCTATTTCTCTGTTCGGTCAAAAGCGTGCAGAACACAGCAGAAAGGGTGACACCACTTGCTTTCTTATGCCAAAATTAAACCTTTCACAACTTTCAAGGTTCAGCAACTGGAGAAAAAAAAATTGTTCACAATAAAGAAATTGAGAAAATCTGTTACTGTCTTCACACTGAGGAAATTGAGAAATGTTAGTAACACCTAAACAGCTACCGGAGAGCAAATAAGACAGATGCTAAATAAAAATCTGAATCTTTAAACTTGACACATAAAATCTGCATTTTAACTTTTGTTTTATTTTCGTAAATAAACGACTCATTCTTAGAATTCTGAAAAACCCACAGCAATTCTCAAGCTGAAAATCACACGGAAGTTGATTCTTTACCACTTTTGTGGTGTCGGAACCGCCCCTCAGCCACGCTGGAAGATCTGAACTTGGGGGCTGAGTCTCAAAGAAATCGTCATCTTCATCGACCTTTTTTGATTTTGGATTTGAACTTAAATTGAAAGAACTTGGTGTTGTTTCGTGTGTGCTTTGAGTTGTGTTTGCTGAAGTTTGATTTGGGTTTTGGTGGTCCGGTTTGTTTGAAGTATTTAAAAAACTGGGCTTGTAAGTGGCTGAGTCGTCATTTTGTTTTGAGAAGGAGAATTTGGATTTTGTAGAAGGACTTGAGCCCAAGAAACTTGGTTTGTACTGGGAGGTAGGGGCGTCTTTCTTGGAACCAAGGAAACTGGGCCTTTGGTAAACGGAAGGCTGTTGGTAAAAGGGGGAGAGGCGAGATTTACTGTGATGTTTTTAACACTGGAAGGTATTTTTTCAATTCATCAAGTTGCTATAAACATGATAAAGTGGAATAATCAGTACAAAATTAACGAGAAAGTTGTAATTTTAAGGCAGAAAGCTCATTGACACAAATTTGATTTAAAATTTGAAAGATGATGTTAAGGATTCAAGGTTTGGGTATAAGATGGTCAGGTTTTTTCCATGCAGATAAATTGGAAATAAACATACTGGGGAAAACTCTGAACACTGGTTCAGCGAATCATGTCTGAAATACCTTTTCTTCCTCTTCTCGTTTCTTCTTTGCCTCAGCTTCTTCCTTCTCATGTCTCCTCCATCTCTCCTCCTCCTCCTCCCGCCGAAGCCTCTCTGCCAACTGCCACTGTCGCTCCTCCTCTTGCTTCTTCCTCTTGTCCGCCTCCTCTTGTCTCCGCCTTTCCTCCTCTTGCCTCTGCGTCCCTTCCCCACCGTCCCGTTTCTCCCATCCCATGTCCAGGTCCCGTAGGATCTTCTCGTGCTCCGAGAGCTCCTGTTTCGGTTCTTTGGACTTTGGTTCTTCCTGTTTCGGTTCTTCCCATTTGGGTTTCTCCGATTCTATCTTATCCTCTTTCTTTGGTGTTACATCCTTCGGGGACTTGACCCTGGCGTTTGTTTCCTCCCGCCGCCTGAGTTCCTCGGCTGATCGATCCCGTGGTTGCCTGTCGGGAGGGGGAGGGTGCGGCAGCTTCGGCTGGTCAACCGTGGAGGTCGCTTTGCTCAGCATGACAGGCTTGAGGCTGGTCGGGGAGAGGTTGTACCGGAGTTTGCCAGGCGGCTTGATCAGGCGGTTGCTGTAGATGTTACGCACTTCCAGTTCCTTTTCTTTCTCCTGTGGATGAATTGTTACAAATCATATTTGGGTGTTAGTTTAAGGTAAAGTTGCCGTTATTTTTTGCAAAAAAAAAAAATTGTATTACACATATAACAGAAGGCGAGGGTTATAACATTTTTGCAATCTTGAGCACATAGTTCATGAAACTGTTGAAAAAAGATATTGTGCCAAATATCTAGAACATACTGTAGTTTGTTTTGAAATAGATCCAAGTGCAGATTAAAAACATTCAAGGGCCACCAGATTTTTGGACATAGAATTAGGGATTTCATTTTTGAAAATAACCATGATGTGAAAACTACAATGGCCAACAGTTGCGATACTGAATACAATACCCAGGCATGCAACTGGGAATTTAGAAGAAAAAAAACGAGGAAATTCCAAACCACACAAGACTTTATACAGTGTTTTTCAATTTGTAATGGAATGAGAAATGGAAAAAAAGGAAATCAACGGATCTGAGGAAAAGTTGCTTGCCTGAATATCATGACGCATATATGAAAATGAAAAAATTCGAAATAACGGAGCCTTACCCTGAGTTGCATCTGCAGTCGTTCGTTCTCTCTCTCCAGACTTCCCATCCTACCCTTCAGTTCCTCCTCACGTCCCTGCCTCTCGCGCAGCTCATGCCGCTGGTTCTTCTTCATGTGCTCCACGTATCTCTCCTGCTCCTCGATCTTCTTGTCCCGGTTTTCCAGTTTCGTCTTGAGCCGGTCCACTCGCTTCTGGAGCTCGTGGCGTTCCAGGAGGCCCTTGTCTTCGGCGACGGCACTGAGGCTTTTTAGTTCGTCTTCTGTACGCAGTAACCGCTCGTCTTTGTCCTTCATGCGCCGGTCTTTGTCCCTTTCATGCTCCTACAAGGACAGGGGTAAAACTAAGTTTTAATTTTATTTTCACAGTTTGATCTGTTTTTTTCACATAATGATCAGTTTCTCAAAGTTATTTAATTCATCTTACCAAAACTTGAATAAAACAAGATTAGACTCGAGTGTAGTCAAGCTACACCAAAAGTCTGTTTGGGACATATTTTACAAACTTGTGACTCAGTCAGTCAGTTAGTGATTTGGGGAGCCGGGGAGTCAGTCGGGGAGTCAGTCAGTCTGGGGGGGAGTCAGTCAGTTGGGGAGTCAGTCGGTCGATTAGTGACTCAGTCACTCAGAAGCAAAAATGAAACTTAAAGTAGTCCAAATGCTCAATCCATACCTGATACTTGCGAATTCGTCGTCGCATGCTGTCCAGCTCAGCGCTGTGTTTCTTCAGCAGCTGCGGCAGCTCGCTCTCCTCGTTGTCAAACTTTGCCAGCGCCCTCTCCTGCCGTCGCTGCAGTGCCTTCAGCAGCTTGTTCTCCTGCAGCGTCTCGTCGTGCTGCTGCTGCAGCTGGTTGAACTCGTTGCGCAGCCGGCTGATGGTGTGGCCTTTCGCCGACAGCATGCGTCGCGTGACCTCGTTGCCAGCATTGCGTGGCGAGGCTTGACTACTGGCGATGCTGTTGGAGCGTTTGTTCGTGTTGTTGGCTGCCGCAGGTTTCTTAATCGGAGTTTTCTGAAAAGCTGATGAATTTGATAAAATTGTGGTGATTAAAAGTGAAACAAAATGACATACTACAGCAAACTATTTTTCCTTGCCTATGTTTTGTTGTGTTCACTGTGCTAATTTATACATATTTCTTTTTTATCTTAATAATTTGATGTAAATTTAATGGCTTTTGTGATTTAAATTTATGCTAGCTTGTATACTGTATCATTTTTAATTTAGGAATTTTTAATGTAACGCACCTCCAACAGGTTTGACTCTGGAGAGAGTACAATATATATTTAATGAAAGTATTATTATTTATTATTCTATATCAATTAATTTACTCAATGTTCAAATATGCACATTGAAAATCTTTTTTGCAGTCTTAACACACATCTTAAATTGGCAATTTTTTGTTTTAAAGGTCATCATCAAAATAACTCCAAAGGGTGTAAATGATTAATGAAGGGGGGGGGGTCTTAAATTTGGTGATTAACTGTGCAGCTGTGTCCATTTATATTTTGTGGTTGAATTGTTTGTTTTTAATGGTTTAATTCCATTTTTTTAATGGCCTTATTAAGTTTTGTACCATGTAGGACATGTAGGACAGGGATATAAGTTAAAAAAAACACCAAAAAACCCAAGGTGATGTGCAAAATATAATTATTGTTACAGGATTTTTATAATTTCTCTCAAATAAAACCTATATTTTTTAACATTTATTTCCAAGAACAAAATCATGTCGGGCAAAAACAATCAATCCAAGATGATATGCAAAATATAATTATTGTTATAGGATTTTTATAATTTCTCTCAAATACAACCTATATTTTTTAACATTTATTTCCAAGAACAAAATCATGTCGGGCAAAAACAATCAATCCAAGATGATATGCAAAATACAATTATTGTTACAGGATTCTTATAATTTTTCTCAAATAAAACCTATTTTTTAACATTTATTTCCAAGAACAATCCATAACAATCATTTCCCTTCATTTCCCTTCATTGATTTACATACATGTTCATTTTGTGAAAAAAATAAAGCCCCCCCCCCCCAAATGATCATCATGCATGTACCTGACCATTAAAATTGAACCGAAAAATCAATTATGACTGATATCTGAAATGAACCCTCTTCTACGATGATGTACGTCACAGTGTTCAGTCCCATCAACACAATTACTCTTCCCATGCCCCCCCCCCCCCCCCCCAGGTTCCCAAGGCTATATCTGAGTATTTATATATGTGTCTTAATCTGTCGTCTTGACAACCGTGACAGGGCACGACGAAGAAAAATTAAGCACAATCAGAGCACACGCATACAGTTTGCATGGGGTAGATGAATACAAATGGGAGCCTTAGTTGTTCGTTAGTCTCATATACTCAGAAAGACATCTTAAGGCAAACATATGGGAATATTTATCATGGCGTGTTACATAATTTTTGAATAATTATAAAAATGTAAAAATATAACCTGAATTAGTTTTTGTCTGGCCCCTTGGGTAAAAATGGAACCTTTTAAAATTCACTAGCCTGCTTAATGACATGAAAATTTGACATTAGAAGAACTTTTAACAAAAAATGATTTAAAAAATATAAAATAACCCCCTTTCTCCCATTTTAATTTTATCATTGCTCCTGAGACCTAATTTTTCTTGTCTATCTGAACTCTTGTTCCGAGTACAATTCCTGCTCTTAAAATGAACAATTCTTGACTGACGTAAACGATGGCACATTCTTTGGCAAATCATGAACTGAATTTTGAATATGCATATGAAATAAATACACAACAGATTTTAACTCAAAAATAGCTTCAATTTGTCACTTTTTCAAGCAGAAAATTCCATTGGCTTTTCAAACACCATTGCTGGCTTGCAGAGTTCGAAAAATTACAAGGCAAACTTGTGACACACAAACTATAGTATTTTTTTCTTTCTTTTTATACGTGACTAATAAATTTAAATGTCTCTATAATTATCCTTTTATAGTCTGACATTTTTTTACAAGCAATTGGTGACAATTTATGCTTTTAACATCTTCTTTTTCCCACATTAGACACAGAAAATATGTAATTTTCAATAAACTCAAACAAACTTTGAGAGAGTATCAATACTGAGTTTCTTGACAAGCTTTGACGTATTGTCAAATTGTTTGTAGCAATAATTTAATAGTTGTAAACAACACAAACATACGGGATCAATGGAGTCAATGGAAATATAAACATATGCACGCAGAGTAAGAAATCTTTTTCTCCACCAAAAATCATGATGACAAAAAATGTTTTAACGTCTTGGTAATAAACTCACCTTTCTTTGTTCGGTTGTTGGTCTTGCCATAATTTGAGCTCCCTCCATAGCCCTTGAATGTCGTCCGACTGTCTTGACTAGTCCCGCTGTTGAACCGGTTGGATGAAGTGCTGCTATACCCTCCCCTGGCCCTTCCTCTGGGCTTTGCGCTCGTTTCTTTCTTAGTCCTCTCTGGCGACGCCTTGCGAGAATCCTGGTCCGAGTCTTCCGAGTTGAACGAGTCCGAGTACGCAGGCGAGCGTGGGAGCGGGCTCCTATACGGCGACGGTGTTTGCGACCGTGACCGTGATCGCGATGGTGAATCATCGTACCTGTATGACTTGGTACCGCGTTTCTCGGACATGATCGAGTCTGACGACTTGGCCGAGAAGTTGCCTGAGGTTGATGGGGTCAGAGATTTGTTTTTGGCGACTCGCTGCGTAGCTGGGCTGTCGCCCCTACGGTCGTAGGCTCCTTTCAAGTATGGGCTGTCAGCTTTCTGGTTGTCATGCTCGCCGTCCGAGTCGAAGAAGGAGTCATTGTCATTCACTGCAGTCATACCTCCTGTTTAACTGGACGACAATAGCTCCACCCTTCTGCTACTGGTTTTGATTTATGTTTTGTAGAATCTGTTGGAGTAAACCATTTTATTTAAAATGTTTAGTTTCCTTTTTCAGTGAAATAAAATTTACATCTCCATCTCATATCAAAATATCCGTTTGGTGTGCAGTAAAAGTAAGTCCAAAGACTCAGTTTAACATAAACATCATCGAAAATTTAAAGAGAAAAGATTAAAATGTTACTCATGGGGGGGGGGGGGGGTTGACAAAAGTATGAAAGATTAAAACATAGGCCTATGACAATTACTTAAAAAATGAGTTTTAAATCTTACGTTAAATTCTAATTAATATAGGGCCTATTAATAAATTAGCCAAAGTTGGAAGGCTAATATTAATCTAAAGTCAAGAGGTGTAGACTGTAGCATCCTTGAACTGTAAAAAGAAAGTTTTAGTTTTAGTTTTAGAAAATTATACTAGTCTGCTAACTTACAACAAAAAATCACGTGTATTATTCATTTCTTTCCTGTCTACAAGTACAAACATGACAAACTTAGGCCTATGCCCAAAACAGTCAATGCTACATTTCACAAAAATAATAAGGTTTACAAAAAAAACTACTGACAGTGACAGAAAAAGTCTTAGTAAAAATCATTGCAATTGCAAATAAAGAACAAATACATTTCTTTATTCAAATAATGTGAGCTTGATAGTGTTCCTATTTTTAAAATTAAAAAGCTCATATTTACCTCGGTACTCTCTTTTAGAGCATCAGCGGCAGAATTCACTGTTAAATTCAAAAAATATTGGGTTTTTCAAGACGTCAAAATTCAATCTAGACCTTCGCAGTGATCGCAGATTGGCATGCGTGCCATACGCTGTTTACTTGCTATGGAGATTGCCAGAAGAAGAGAAACAATGGATCGCTGGTGTACCACATATAATTTTTTTCATTTCACAGGGTACCAGTGATGACGTGCATTAGAAGCATCCTATACATGATGGGTTCTGTCATGCATTATTTGGCATGAAATAGTCAGATACCACCATTTTCTATGCCTTTCAGAAGTATGCTTTTGTGATAAGAGACGTCTGGATGTAAGGCAATTAAATCGTTTACATGATTTGCAACGATGGATTTTAGTTTTATTTTTAATCAAGCTAATAAACTTTACACAGTCAGTATTTTGATTGTTTGTTGCAGCTGTAATTTATTTTATGTAAAATGTCTGAATAACAGTTGAACTCTGAGGTTATGTTACATTCCAAAAAGAAAGATGTTTCATCTATTCAATCAATAAGAGAACTATCGATAGATTTTTTATCTCTTAAACTGACAGCGGACTTAGAACAAGTTTAGTTTATGTCTGGGGTCGCCGGGTCGTGGGTGGGGCTTCGTGGAAACGACCCCGATTAGGGTATTATGTGGGACTTTAAAAGGGGCGTGGTAACCATGATACAAAATGATGGGGTGGGGTAAAATAATTATGAATATATGGACAAGAAAATGTCAGATGTTCAATAGCTGCATCTCACAAGTTTCTCTAAACGTAATTTATGTACCACTTCAAGCAACTTTCAATGAAATTGTGATGAGAAAACCATAGGTCATTTCTAGATATGGGAAATTATGACTTCCAGAAATTTTGCTTTGCTTTACAAAAATAAACCTACAGACGAAAACGATTGAACTGCGTCCGTGGTCCATATCTGAAATCTTACCAACAATTTGATTTAGAACAAATAAAACACCATAATCTAATTTTGAAGTCAAGCATGGGTCATTTTTTTTTCAACTTTTGGGGATCTTTTGGCTTTTGACATTAAATGTCAATAGAGGGCGCACGTGTATCTCCCGATCGGCATAATTAATTGTGCGGCATTTATACCCAGATATTGAAGCATTGAGCTGCTACCTACCTGAAACTGTGAAAGTCAAGGAGTTGTGCGATCGTTCTGCGACCATTTCTTTCTCTGCTGTGGAAATCGAAACATCACTATGGTCCTCAAATATTACTTCTCAAGCGTGACCTCCGATCTTGGGGTGAGTAGGCACATCTTTTCTTACCATTCCCGAAAAAAAGACGAAATCACAAGTTAAATTGACAAAATAAATCGTTTCTCCGAGTCTGACTTGTTATCACAGTTATCGATTTGTACAACAAAAAATACAACAAATTTCATTTTTTCCCCTTAAATATCTCAGGTATAACTATAAGTATGCTCTTGTAACCATTCTTTGGAGAAATGCAAATGTGAATTATGGAAGTTCCTTACTCATGATGTATTCTAATTTTAACAAAGAAATTCAACATGAAAATTAGAGAATAGTATTTTTGAGTTCTTCTAAAAGTCTAACCCTCTAGTACTGCGTAGGTTAGATGAAACCATACGTAGAAAACTTAATCTCTTTTTCTCTCCAAATCACAAAGACAAAAAAGCACCAGCAGAGGATTGAGATGATCCTGTCATCCAAGAAGTTTGAGTACGAACAAATCGATATCGCCACCGACGAAGCAGCCAGGGAAAAGATGAGGGAGATGATGAACGACCCTAAGGGCTTGCCTCCCCAGCTGTTCAACGACGATACGTACCTAGGAGTAAGTGCTTTTAAAAAGCACCCCCAGTAGTTGGGAAACTTGTGAATCCCCTATGGACTAAGGCAGTGTCCGAATCGCTTGGCTACACGACCGGCAATAACGCACGAGTCTATGGGTAGTGGCTGCAGCGGCTAGCCAATGGCTTCTATAGGTGTGCGTGTGATATACAGGCGTAGCCATGTGATTCGATACGGCCTTAGTGGCCATAGGTGGCGCTATGTGACTACTTGTGAGAGCACTCTTAAAATCACGCATTGCATATGCGCACTGTTTTCGCGCGCATGGCGCGGAGTACCAAGATAATTTTATTCTCAATATACACAAACCAATTGTGCGTTGCAAGAGCGTCAGTCGCCAATGGCAGTGCGTTAAAAAGTTTATAATATTAGATTTCTTGCTCGCGCTTGTAGAACACGGAATAATGTAGTGCGTCTGTGTCCCACCTTCCACGAGGCTGAATAAGGAATTTATCTTCAAGCAAACTTGACGCACTTAAAAGATTGAACGCACACGTTGTACACAAACTTTTCAGTGGTTATCCTATTACACGTGCGTGTGGTACGAGATGGCGCACGCGCATCTTAGAATAGCGCAATACGCGGAGTGCGGTATGGACCGTGACCGTGCTACTTGGTTATATGTAGCACGACTTGTTGTCATGGATTAACCAATCAGGATTGAGGATTAAGTTTACCTGAAGATAATACCTACCCCCCCCCCCCCCCCCTTCCTGTCTGCCAGTCCCTGCCCTTCCCATACAAATAAAAATATGAATATAACAAGAAACGGTCAGTTTAATCTGATATATTGCTGGTTTGTTTTCACAGGGCTTTGACAAGTTCGACGAGGCAGTCGAGGATGAAACTTTGGAGGCATTTCTGAAGGGTTAGGAGGTTTCCCAAAATTGTCTTCAAAGCAGGACCTGTCTGATCAGACAACTCTACTGTTGCAACTCAAATATGGCCTTGTTTACACGAAAAAGCCCAAAAATTTGATTCAAAAATCTCGTTCTTGCCAAAGTCTGATGAGAATGTAAGTGTACTTGCCCAACATGGCCATAATTTCTGATTTCTTTTTAATGAAAGGCTGAAGTGAGATTTTTTTTTTAAGAGTTATTGGTCGTGACAAAAAAGTACAGCATGTGTGTCCTAAAAGAAAAGCAATTTAGATTAAATTTAAAAAAAGATACAAAGTTTTAGCAACAGTGAAACAGAAAACACTTCATAAAATAGCAGAATTTTTAGGGTTTTTCAGTTAAAACATTCCAGTTGGATACATGTACCTAATTTCACATTGCGCTGAATTTATACATTCACAAATAGTACATTTTTCTGAGAAAGTAGGTCATGAATGTGGTGGATTGGTCAAAACTGCCTTTTGAAACTTCGACAAATCCTTAACTTAAGTAAACCTAAAACGGAAAAGTAACTCCAGATTATGCAAACAAATTCTTGAAAATCTTAAATTCAGTCAACTTTCGTATTCAAATTGCATCATCATGAACATGATTGTGAGAAAAATGATTTGTCATATTTTGTATTTGTAAAAAAAAAAAACACCATTGTGTCCTATTTGATTCAGTTTTTGAAATTTTGTATTTGCTCTAAATTAAAAAAAAAAAAATAGAAATGTCAAATTTCCCAGTTGCACATTACTACATGCAATAGATTTGCTTAAAAGAATATTGCCAAAAAATTTGGTGGAAACTTGAAAAACTAGTACTGGAGCTGGCGTGGCTTTTATGTCTTTATATGTCCACATGTTCTTATTTACATATTTCAATTGATGTCAATATTTCAATTGCTGCGAACATTTAATTCATTTTTAATTCATGTCGTACTGTCAAAAACTTCAAGGAAAATTGTGAGACTCATTTATAAAGATCAGTTACTCTTTTGCATTGGTATAATTTTTCTACTAGTAATCTTTTCATGTACATGTTGAAAAAAACAAAAAACAAAAAACCTGGCTGAATTTTTTTAGGGTTTTGCAAAGCATGCGTATTGAATAAATAGTCAACTTAACTAGTTAATGTGCATTAGAACCAAATATTTTATTTCTCCATTTTGAAATAAGACAGGGCATTTAATATTTTCTTTTTATGGCTGAAAATACATGTAATTTTGAATTTAATGCATGTGCTTCTTTTTGGTGCTTAGAAAATTCGAGTTTGTCTTTATTGTGTTAACCAAAATAGTCTGGTCAGCTTTAATAACTATGGTAGGGTAATCTTGGGTGTAGGAATTGGAATTTGGGTACAAGACCACCCCTGCTTGCTCCTAAGGGTTCCTGAGGACTACCCTGCTCAATCCAACAGAATCCAACTGCGCAAAATTTTTAGTTTTCTGCTGGATTCAACAGAGTCCAACTTGGCGTTATTTATCAGTACCCAACAGAATCCAACTCAGAATATGTACATTTGTACAAGGGGTTTACTGCTCAATCCTACAGGCTCCCACAGGTTTATGATAAAGTTGGATCCTGTTGGATTCACTAGGGGTACTGTTGGACATTCGTAACCTCTAGGGGGCGATGTGATATACGTAGGTCAACCGAAAGGTTTCCTTTAAATGTAAAAACTAGTTTCTTGCCGCAAGTGATTTGATTCAATCTACCTGTGCTTTCTGTGTGCTTTTTTTGTCAACTTCATAAAATAGAAATAGAAATTCCACCTTTACGTGGACAGCGTTTTATGTCAGCCAAATGAAATTGAGAAGCATTAGTTTTTGTTAAAATCATTTTTACATGCAATAGTGTATTCTGACTGTTTTTATTGCATTCTTTTCGAAAGAATTTGTAACGTATTGTGAATTCAGTTCATTATTGTTGTGATGTTACTTTTGAAGCCAAAGTGTATAGTGCAGTGTAGCATTCTTAAAATTGCCTTCTATGTGGACAATTGCTATGTGAGCAAATCTTTTGATAGTCGTACACCAAACTGGTGTGGCAGTTTTATTTTGTAGCATATTTTGTAGTTTCTGCAATTTTGTGTTCTTCTTAAAATAAAATGCTATGTAACCAACAATGTTAGTAGAATGGAAACAGTGTCCTTATTGGCCGACAAACTATTCTGTACAGATTTGATTTTTTGTGTTTATTCTGTGCCGCAAAAACAGCAAAGTGACAAACGTTAAGGTTTCAAACTTTCTGAAGCAACCCAGTTCCGACTGCTTCATGTCACTTAATGTTTAATTGTTGAGTAACACAAATATCGTTTACAAGACTCACAAAAATACACCTTGAATTCGACATGCAGAATTTTCTGCATGCAATTTCTTGATACTTTCAAAGCAAAAAAAAAACCCCAAATGGACTTGTGCAATGACATTACACATAAATGTTAATGAGAAAATGCTGGGTTTTTTTAAATATGGCAGTTTTAAATACTAACAATAAACATACTGAAAGCTGAAATTTTCCACAATCTGCAAATTTGCAAGGGGTAACGAGAATGAGATTTACATTCAGCGAAAATTGTAAAATGAAACGATTACTGCCAAAAAATTTGTGAATGAAAATACATACACAGGGAATTCCTTTCCAATATAAAAAAAAAATACTGCAAGTTAAACGCGCGATCCCCCGGCATGCTGGCAGCATATATACAGTCAGTTAGTTAGCACACTATTCAGTGTACCTTACCAAAATCAACAATGACCTCATTTGACCTCTATATGACCTTTGACCTCAAATTTCTCAAGTCATCTTAAGTCCCCCTTCCCAAAGATTATTGTCGCCAAGTTTGGTTGAGAGTAAAGTCTGACTTCATATGACAGAAGTTTTGAGTTTACCTAATAAACCAAAATCGACAATGACCTTGCATGACCCCTAGATGACCTTTGACCTCAAAAGTCTCAAGTCATCTTTAAGTCCCCTACCCAAAGATTATTGTCGCCAAGTTTGGTTGAGAGTAAAGTCCGACTTCATATGACAGAAGTTTAGAGTTTACCTAATAAACCAAAATTGACAATGACCTCGCATGACCCCTAAATGACCTTTGACCTCCAAAGTCTCAAGTCATCTTAAGTCCCCTACCCAAAGATTATTGTCACCAAGTTTGGTTGAGAGTGAAGTCTGACTTCATATGACAGAAGTTTTGAGTTTACCTAACCAAAACAACAATGACCTCATATGACCCCTAGATGACCTTTGACCTCAAAAGTCTCAAGTCATCTCAAGTCCCCTACCCAAAGATTATTGTCACCAAGTTTGGTTGAGACTGAAGTCTGACTTTTCATATAACAGCACTAAACAGTTAACCTAACCTGGAACAAATGGACAAACAGAAGAAATACACTGTCGCAAGATCCCCCTTTCTTGGCCTAAAAGCAAGGGAGATAAAAAGTGAAGGCGGCCCTTATTAGATGAGATTTCTGCAAAATGCCAACCAATTTGAATTGGAGATGAAAATATAACAAAAAATGCTTGGGCGCTGAAAATTGCACTGACTCTTTAAAAACGTTGCTTTGGTTTAAATTTTTAAAGACACCAAATAAGATTTTTTTTAGTTCAACTTTCTTTAAAGACAACCATGTTAGTTAAACAATAATCCGTGATCTTGAAATCTTGCAAACCATGCCCAACAGAAAATTCCTTTTTAAAATTAGATTTTTAATGAATTGAAGGGCTTTTTAAAAGCAGGATGGTTTTGAAATTGCTAAACTTTTACTAAAATACTGACACCATAATTTTTTCAGCTTATATACAGAAGTTGTAGAAAGTAAGTTTTCCTTCTACCATTTGCGTAAAAAGATCAAAGAAAAAAAAGGCAAAATAGTACTTTAAAATTTTTATGTTCACTGTGTAATTATCTTATCTTTACTACACATCAACAAAGTTATTTCATATTCATATTCTTTTTGCTTATTGTCCGTTGTTTAAATTCTTACTCTACACCAAGACTTTCTTCCTACGTCCCCATAGAATTCTGCACTTTTGCCAGGGCAGAGACACCATTGTCTGTTTAGACCTTTTTATCGCGGATGTAGGTCGCGAAGGTGAGGTCGTAGGTCTGGAACTGTGAGAACTGGCGATCGTGGCGGCGGTACTTGTCCAGAAACGTCTCGCTGAGGGCTTTCATGCTGGTGCCACATTTTGCCGTCTGAAAAAAAAAAAAGTCTTGCAAATTATTTCTGATTTCTGAAAAGTCGATGAAAAGAATTCACAGTAAACAATTGGCTCCATGCATGACCTGAAGAGGGCGCTGTTCACTCCAACAATGAGGAAATATGGGGTGCGTTCGAGCGTGTTACTCTTGCTACTCCTGAGTGCAGGAAAATGTTGCGTGCGCATTACTCTCGGTGCAAGAGTATACTCCCGGTATGATGGAGAGCATACTCTTGCTAACCCGCGGGTCGTACTCCTGCCGTTCATGCGCTCAGGAGTATACTCGCGTTAACACGAGTAGCACGCTTGAACGCACCCATAAAGGGCTTCTGTATTTAGCTGGTCCCCGAACACTGTCCATCCATTTACGTTGGAGATGAGTACCAGGGAAGGTGGGGGACAGTCACTAATCTCCATTAAAGGCTGTGTGCCAATTATTTGGCTATGGCTAGTAATAACACACAAGTCTATGGGGAGTGACTTAAATTGCTTCCATAGGTGCAGCGTTATTGCAAGCTGTAGCCTACGTGAGACGCAGCCATAGAGCTATATTAAATTACTAGAGTGCTAACTCCTCATTCTTGCACGCGGAGACGCTTTGAAGTCGCTCTGGGCGCAGACATTTTGAATTTATGTGCGTGTTTGTTGAACACAATCAAAATAGATGGATTGAATATTAAAAGTGTACTCTAAATGCAACGCGCAAGTAGAAGATACGCAAACAACTTAAGCGCGTCATGACGGTTACAAAATTGTCACGGCGAAAAGCATTTGCAGTGGAGGGACGCACACGTTGCGCTGTTTGCGTAGAGCAAAATGAAACGCTCATTTGCTGATCGTGCGTTTCGGTTTTGGGCGTACCGGCTTCGATGACACTCCGGTAGTTGCAGATATGCAAATAGCCGTACAAAAGCCGAACAAAATTTCGAGTTTTCCATCAGGCGCCCATCAGGCATTACTTTGTACATCGAGTTAGCGTTCTAGTAATTTAATATAGCTCTATGGACACAGCCTAACTGGCTTACAACCATCCAACTAGTCTTGCCATCTTGTGAAAAAAAGTTTATTAGGATTCACGTCTTGTGAAGGTGTTCCTTACCTTGCTTGCAAACAGCGTCATGACGCACTTTCCTGGATTGAACGTCGTTAGGACCTTGTTCACCAAATCACCGTAGTCCTCCTGCGAAAAATAAGAAAAGCACAACCTTTACATGAGGGCATAGATGCAGCAGAAATTTTCCATCAGAGCATGGGTGGGGTTCGAACCAGGGGTCTGAAAAGTCCAGGAAAGTTACACTACTTGATGGCTGAGGATAAAAAGAACTTCCTTTTTAAATAAAACCTTAATTGAACACCGTCATAGCATTTGGTGTTAGGGGTGGTTTAGAGAAACTCAATACACCATCGTGACCCCAATACACCATCATGACCCCAATACACGATCATGTCCCCAATACACCATGGTGACCCCAATACACCATCGTGACCCCAATACACCATCGTGACCCCAATACACCATCATGACCCCAATACACCATCGTGACCCCAATACACCATCGCGACCTCAATACACCATCATGACCCCAAGTTTTGTAGTAACCTCACCAGCTCGATGTTGGTCTCGAAGCTGACGTAGGAATACTCCTCCTCTGGAGTGACGTGGATCGTCATATAGCCGTCCTGCAACAAAACAAATCCAATACTGCATTAACTATTTCATGTCTTTTTTTTTTTTGGTGATGAAATTCAGTTTTTTCCATTCTATACAACTGTTTCATGAAGTGGTTTAGATCCTCACCTTGGGCAGCAGTCCATTCATGGAATAGCCGCAGGGTTCAAACAGAAAGTCGTCAATCTGACAGTCGGGCAAGAGGTCTGCTATTCCGGAGGCCTTATAAGAAAGCAAAAAAACAAAATCATGAAATAGTTGGAGGGTACCTACTTGAAATGCACGGAAAAAATCTCATTGTCGGATAAATTCAGAACTAAAGAGACTGCCATGACATTAAACGGTGGCAGATGGCCGTAACTAGAATGCCCCAATCAGTCGAATTTTGGCAATTCAGTAAAGCTTATTTAATATTACCAAAAAAATATATATTCTGGGCTCTAATCTCCTATTAAAATGTTTTTTTTTAATCAGACATATCAGGTCCAGGCAGATCGGTTAGGCCTTTCAGTTAATGAATTCTGCAAGTGTACAATTACAATGTGAGTATCGAACAGCTGTTTGCCAGATGGCGTTTCCTTTATAAAGGGCATTAAATATTTCCAGACAAGTTTAATATTTAACGTTTGATATTTAATGACCTTCCACTGTCTGGTACTAATACTTCACGTTTGAGATATGAACGTATTTTATTTAAAAAAATTTACTGTACAAATGATCTGTTGCCGGGGGTGTGTTATTTCTCATCTGAAATATGCATTTTCGGATTTATAGGAAGGAAACAAAAAATTACCTTGGTGACGTCTGCGGCCTTGCGTCCCGTCGTGTCCTTAAAGTGCTTCATGATGCTGGGGTCAAGCTGGGTCATCAGGATGTGATGACACCGGGTCAAGGGTCATAAGGTCATATTACTAAACTGACATATTTTTTTTGAATTTTTTTTTGAAATTGTGGATTAAAACAGGATGCATATGCATACATCAATAGTACTTTAAAAAAAATAAAAAATAATAATAACAATTTGAAAAGGATATCTCCAGTGTTTGATCAGGTTGATTCTGACCGTTGCAGATGTCTAGGGTGTATAGATGCCTACATGTCACCAAAAAAGCATAGAAAGTTCAAAGGTTAAAAAGGGCAAAGAACAATCTCAGTAATTCTTAAGGTTACAGCTGACGTAATTGGTACAGAGCTTTTAAGCTCAGTGATTTTATTGAATTGATAATGCCAAGTGAAATAAATTTAAAACCAATTTTGTGCAGATATTCAGAAATTTGAAATGTATGCAGATAACTAGTATTTTAAATGCGCATATATTTCTGAGGGTAGGGGGAAGGCATTGTGATGTCATTTAAAGCACTCGGCAGAGTTAATAGATTTTCTGTACAAATTGTGAATTTTTATGGATAAGATGAAAAATTACGGCTCTGTAACATACTAACCAACAATCTCCATTGATTCTACCCAGCATGTATGCAGCTCCGCCTAGATTTATGAAAAAAAGGACAAATACATGAATCTAAATTTAAGCAAAATTTGCTTTGAGGTTTTTTTCTTACTTAATTTATTTAGTCAAAGAGACAAGCCTGTACATGATACATGACTAATCTTCTTAGGGAAACAAGACTCACAATCAAAGAGGGTGTCCAGGTAGTGGACTTCGTCTTCAAAGTTGCGGTGGGGGACTTCCTGCAGCTCGGGACGAAAGAAATTCTTTCGGGAATAGAAGACGGTCTACAGAAAGGAAGAAAAAACAATGGGTCTTTGAATGAAAGAAAAGCAAATAGCAGGAAAAGTGCAATGCAATCATACCAAGTAAAATGGTTTGTCAAGTTTCTTAACCGAAATTCTGGCTACTTTGAGGATCCTTCCTGAGAAATGCTTCAATAAATTTTAGGGCACTGGTAACAAATTAGAGCTCCTTCAACCCTAACTCCTACCTTGAAAGTGAAGCCGCAGAAATCTTTGGCCAGCTTCAAGATGGGTTCGATGGCACTGAGCAAGGTGGTGGTGCCGCACGTCTTCAGGATAAACCGCTCCTTGGACAGGAACATGCTGCTCTCGCTGGAACAAAAAAAAACAGGGCAAAGTGAGACAAACCAAAATAAAAATATCTCAATTTTTTTTCTTTTCAGATTGTCGATGTTTTATTGTTAATAGATGTTGCATTGTTATCTCACCTTAACACGTAAGCATGGTGCTCGTCTCTGCACTTCTCACTGACAATTTCACAATGAACTAACTTCATAAGCTCAACTAAGCGTTCTCTGTGTAAACAAAAAAATTTACAAACAAAAGTAAGTATTCAAAACGACGTTGAATTAAATTGACTAATAAGATATTCAATAACGGTGAAAACATAGATAGCATCTGCTGGATTCCATGGGGAAAAAATTAACACAATTCTAGTAAAACATTTTTCATTTTTTTTTACATGGACCCCTTCAGTGATTTACATGTACTAGGAACCTTCCTCACTCTTGCAAAATCCAACACCATATGGTAAACTCAACACCCAAACTGTTGGACTCTGATTATGGTGGTATGCCTGACCCCATGTAGAGCATAATCACTTTACTAGTGCAGTACTCACTCCGACAGATTCCAACAAAACATGCATTGGATTTTAAAGGGTTGGGGGCGGTTAGGGTTAAACTGACCAAATTTTACAGCTTTTAAAGTACACAGATTTTACCTAGTGATTACTGTACAGTGTTGGATGTCTAACAAAAAGATTCATGACAATTATTAAAATGAGTCTCAAGAATAATCGTTTTCACTGAAAAAAAAAAAATTGACTGTGACCTCTGACCTGGGAATGACCTTCAGGTCGGGGGTGCCTTGGCCGTGTATGTCACCATTGCGGTGGCGGAGGGGCTCAAACCAAATTTCCAGGAGTTTCTCGGTGCCCTCGTAGTGTGTCAGCTGGCTCCCCTCGGTGACCACCCCAGGAAGCTCCATCTTCGCATAGTAGGGGGGATTCTCGCGACTGGTAAGCCGGTCAACGCCGTGATGAACTGTTAGTGTTAGGGTTTCAAAAACAAAATCACTTATATGTAAATTCAATACCATTAATTTATCACATTTCTAACCCCTTTTGGAACCTTTTTCCAGAACATAATTTAACCCTCCTAAGTCACAGATTACCTTTCACTCCCTCTGGCATACTGTTAACAAACCAATGGGTCACTTGACCAATATTGACCCAATGAAATAACAAGGCTCAGAATGCACGTTTCCATATATAGGAGGGTTAATAATACGATACAAAAATTGAAAATATGCAGGAATTATACATTATCCCAAATAATGAAATATAATTAAAAGAAAACAACAGATAAAAAACACATAAAAAAAAACGATTTAAAATAAGCCAAAAACTACTCAAATAATGAAATTTACAAGAAATAGGCCTAAATAAAAAAAAAATCAAACTTGACTTTTTCCAAACAAAATAAAATTAGAGTTTTTCTATATTTTATTATTATAATCATGGATTATTCTTCCCTGCAAACAGCCACATGTGGAAAGGAAACAGGTCAACTCGTACGCGAACCAACTCGTACGCGAGTCAACTCGTACGCGGATTGGTCAACTCGTACGCGAGACAACTCGTACGTGAACCAACTCGTACGCGTGCCAACTCGTACGCGAGCCAACTCGTACGCGAACCAACTCGTACGCGAACCAACTCGTACGCGGGCCGTTTTAGGAGTGGTTTCGAGGATTGGGTTGGCATGGTTGGGAAGAATTTGGGAATAGTGTGACGGGTAGTCCGTAGTTCAATGTGTGACCTCCCCATTGTTTTAATTTACAAAATATAATTTGGATACATAATAATTAGGACTAAAAAATTATCGGACCCAAGCAAAAAATTAATTTTCTGACCCAAGAAAATTGCATTTCCGCATTTCCGGTGAACTTATATAAAATTCTGATTTTAACAAAAAATAAAAAACAACTCCCCATTTTTTCTTTTTTTAGAAAATATTATTTGGATATATATAATAATTAGGACTAAAAAACTATCTGACCCAAGCAAAAAACTGGCGGACACTGTCTGTACAACTGTATAAGCATGCGTGATGCTATATTCCTTTTTTATAGTAGCTCCTTTTTATACAATAGACCTCGCAAATATCGGTGTTTTCTTGTCATTTTACTTGTCTAACCAACCAGCAATTGTACCGCGGCATACACAGGTTACAGCGATTCAATCATGCATTCTTTATACACAGTGCGCGGTGCGGCAGGAACCAATCATACTGGTTATCGCGAAGACAACTTCCCAATCAATCAAGCGAACTTGTAAAAAAACCAACAAACGCAGAATTCTTCTCTAAAAAATCGCGAATGTAAGTAGCACTGGCGGATTCAAAAATCAACTACATTTAATTTGAAAATCTCAACCTTTCAGAAAAGGTAAAATTATGCCGACCTACCGTACCGAACCTAATTTTATCTGTCCATGTGAGCTAAACCAATCGTCTAAACTCACGCGTACGAGTTGGTCCGCGTACGAGTTGGTCCGCGTACGAGTCGGTCCGCGTACGAGTTGGTCCGCGTACGAGTCGGTTCGCGTACGAATTGACCCGCGTACGAGTTGGTCGCGTACGAGTTGGTTCGCGTACGAGTTGACCTGTATTCTGTGGAAACACCCATATAGGTTGGGGCGAAATGACCGACTGTGCCCCAACACAACGTAAAAAATCATTAACGTTCGCCCCCTTGCCTTGACCTTCGTCTGCAAATTATTCAACGCAATCACTTTCCACATGGCCAAGTTTTCTGTCTTTAAAAGACATAACAACAACATAAAACGATAGAGAAAAACACAGTAATGACAACTTACAGTAGCTTCCTTCAAATTAAACGAAAATTGACAGCAAATGTGGCGAAACTTTCGAAAGCCAACGATTCCTATGCCGTCGTCGAACGACGTGTAAAAAAAATTGCGCATGGAAATTTTCCGTTGGTGCTGCGATTCCTCGTGTCTTTTTCGTGGATCGCGCCGGGTACCATTCCGGTGGGAATTTCTCTGCGGTGCCGGTAAATAGCGCCACCAGTCGTCGAGTGAGGGATATTATCAGCCAGAAACTGCCAATTTTTGGTAAGGTCGGCCAATTTTGCCTATTATTCCTGCCTGTTTTGCGTATCAATATGTGAAGTAAAACAAGACGTGAATAGACTAAATATCATTTCTGTTGGTAGTGTATATCGATGTTTCTAAAATGAGTTTGATTATGACTTTTTAATGAAATTTAATGGCTGCAGCTCAAGTTAGGGTCTCCATTGACAATGACAGTGCATTGTTGATTGATTCACTACACACAATCATAGAAATCAATGAAATCATTCAATTATCAAACGGAACGTCAGGTTTATGGCTAAAATAAGGATAGTTATGATACTCCATAAATCATGGGGTGTAAATTGTAAAACTAGTATCATTAAAAACATGATAAACAAATGTAGCACAAAGTCATGAAAGTGATGCCGACGCGATGATGAAAAACAGGACCATTTTTTTTGTTTAGCATGTTGCAGCTAGAATTAAATGCCTTATGTTTGTTTCCATATGTCCCACAATGCTTTTCTAATATTCATCCATGGAGTAATTTTATGCAACAACTTTGCATGTTTTTTTTCTTTTTTTCTTCAGACAAACAGGGACAACCAATCACGACCATGGATTACGAGTTTAAGACACGCACGGCCAGCATGCGGGAGAAAGTTGAGGACCTCTTTGACTACGAGGGGTGCAAGGTGGGGCGAGGAACGTACGGACACGTCTACAAAGCCACAACGAAGAAGGGTAATCCCAAGAAAGAATACGCCCTGAAGCAAATCGAGGGGACGGGCATCTCGATGTCTGCGTGCCGGGAAGTGGCTGTGAGTATTTCGTTTATAGAGCGCCCTCACAGTGTTACGTGATACGCATGAGTGGACTTTTTAGACATTCATTATTGATAAATTTAAATAACTCCCTCTTTTGTATAATCTGTTTATTTTTACATTTCTGTTTAATATTATTTTTACTGGATTGTGCCAAACTTTCTGTTATTTATTTATTTTTAATGAACTTTGCAGTTACTAAGAGAATTGAAACACCCCAATGTGATCAGTCTACGCAAAGTGTTCCTGTCGCATGCGGACAGAAAAGTCTGGCTCCTGTTTGAATTCTCAGAGCACGACCTATGGGTGAGTAAAGGATCCCAGACATCCCACTCTTTGCAGAGTTGTCCATATTTCTCCCAACATATGCTGAATTCTTAATTTTATCCAATTTACAAGAGAAACTCTCTAACCTCAAAAAATATTGGTAGTCGGATTGGTTAGCTGAACATATTTTTAAAAACTTTCAGTGTTTACCTTTTATTATTTAGCACATCATAAAACATCACCGGGCAAACAAAGCGAGCAAGAAAGGTCCGACGTCTGTACCGCCCTCTATGGTCAAGTCGTTGCTATTTCAGATTCTGGACGGTATCCACTATCTACATTCCAACTGGGTGCTTCACAGAGACTTGGTGAGTAGAAATGCTTAGAAGAAAATACTGCTAAGCATATTTATGTAGTAAGCATAAATCGGCTGGGAACCAGTTGACATCAATATACATTGCATGGTAGTTTGGTTGGTAACCAGTCTGTGCTAAGCAAGTCTGTTTCATGCTTAGCTTGTTTCTATTACAAAATACTTGCAAGCTATACAGCCTTGATGTCCTGCACGATGGTAAAAAAAAAACGATAAAAAATGTTGGAAATACTGAAAATGTTTTTAAAAAATTTTGTTTTACAGAAGCCAGCAAATATTTTAGTCCATGGTGAGTGTTCCGAGAGAGGACGGGTTAAAATTGGTAAGTATGGCCCAATATGGTCTCTTTAGAATCAGCAAAGTTAGTACTAGTTATGCCCGAGTTGGATAGGCGGCCCCGCTTTCATAATGGACTCTTCCTCACTGTCACTCAAACATGCACATTGACCAATTAGATCATGAGCATTGGTCAGGTGACCACAGTCACTCAAACTCAGTCACTAGCACTGTGAGGAATGTACACAAACCTAAGGTGGGCGGGGCTTATGACCAAATTTTGGAACAGTCCATTGCTGTTGATATGTTTTATTGACTTGAAGAAGGTGGGCGGGGCTTATGACCAATTCTGGAGCAGTCCATTTTTGTTAATACATTTTGTTAACTTTAAGAAGGTGGGCGGAGCTATGACCAATTCTGGAGCAGTCCATTTTCATTCATACATTTTGTTAACTTTAAGAAGGTGGGCGGAGCTTATGACCAAATCTGGAGCAGTCCATTGTGAATAAAGGGATGTAAACGTGAAGACTCTTCGTTTATTCTGTTCTCTAGCTGATATGGGTTTTGCCCGGCTGTTCAACTCCCCCCTCAAGCCCCTGGCTGACCTTGACCCCGTGGTGGTGACCTTCTGGTACAGAGCACCGGAGCTGCTCCTAGGAGCAAGACACTACACCAAAGCGATAGGTAAGCCAGGAACGCAAACGTTAAAGAAATCTTCTTAGAATGTGAACTTTTTCTCTTCTAACAGAAATTTGAATCAGTTCCTTACTGTTGTGCAACGCGGGTACACAATGGATGTACCATTAGATCCCCTTACCAACTTTTAGAAAAATTTCTTACATACATCAATTCTCAACTATTGAAATTTCACAGCCTAGTACCATAATCAACAATGGGTGTTTATCTTGTAAATCTTCTCTTTTGACTTTCAGATATATGGGCCATCGGCTGCATCTTTGCCGAGCTGTTGACCTCTGAACCCATCTTCCACTGCCGGCAAGAAGACATCAAGACCAGTAACCCATACCACCATGACCAGCTGGATAGAATCTTCAATGTCATGGGATTCCCACAAGGTACCCATAGAAGTTAAAGTACTAACTACACCCTATAACCCAATCCTATAATGTCAATCCATACCATCATGGTCAGTTGGATCTTCAGTGTCATGGAATTCCCACCAGGTACCAAAGTTTAAGTGCTAACCGCACCCCATAGTCTTAATGCCATAGGGTCCATGCCACCATTATTTGAAGTACTAATGGCACCCTATAGGTACTAAAGACTTAAAAAGTGCTAACTGCATCCCGTGACCTAACCCCACACTTTCAACCCCATATCACCATAATCAGCTTGATAGAATCTCCAATGTCATGGGATTCGCACAAGGTACCATAGCGTTAAAGTGCCAACCTCAACCTAATGTGCTAACTGCAACCATACCAAGTGCCAATGAAAAAAAGGTAGTCAATTCTGGGTGCAAATTTTGCAGCCAATTAAAAATCTTGTCTCATCATGTGTAACTGAGTAAGAGTACTACATGTATTTTCATGTAAAAAAAACCAGCATCTGACTTTCAATTTTTGCACTTTTTATTTAAAAGAGAAAGATTGGGAAGACATCAAGAAGATGCCCGAGTACCCGACTCTACTCAAAGACTTCAGGAGATCAAGGTAGGATGTGGTTGGGAACTAGACTAACACCAAAACAAAAACACATTTAAATTTCAAGAACAGAAAAATTATTTAGAATTTTGTTTTCCTCGAAAACTACAGTTCAGTTTCTGTTCCAGTGTGACAAAACTTTGAATTTTCATTTTTGTCTTCTGTTCTTCTTTGTAGTTACACAAATTGCTGCCTTGTCAAGTACATTGAGAAACACAAAATCAAACCCGACAGCCGAGCGTTCCAGTTGGTAAGTTTTCTTGTATCAGGCAATTTAAAATATTTGTTGCAACTATTGATTTGTACTCGAAACCCATGACATTTCCTGTTTGTTTACTCCGCATTTTGCAAAGAATCAACAGTTTTTATTATAAAAATAATTTTTCCGTTATCCGCCAGTTATCCAAACTATTGACGATGGATCCCACGAAGCGCATGACAGCTAAGCAATCAATGGAAGATCCCTACTTCATGGAAGAGCCTTTACCCAACGGAGAGTAAGTTTAAAAAAGAAAGAAAAAAACTTGATCAGAACAATTCCAGATAAAAATCTACTGGATTTTGTTCCGTAAGCATTGCCCTAAAGGGTTGCCTTCGTAATCTCATTATTGTTTGAAAAAAATGCTCTGCAGGCTATTTATAAACTTCGAAACAATTATAAAAGATCCGATTTTGTATTTTTTTAATAGTGTGTTTGATGGCAAACCCATCCCGTACCCGAAACGGGAATTTTTGACGGACGAGGAAAATGAGGACAAATCGGACACAAGCAAGGTGGGTCAATATTCTTTGATACACCCGGTATGCAAAGCATGTATCGCAGCAGTGTTACAGAAAGAATGCTTTCATTTGCATCAATTCGCTTCCATCAAAATTTCTGTAGAATTGCTTTCTTGCAAAATAAAAAAAAATAAAAATGCTTGTATGATATAGAGACAGCTGTTCATTAGCAAACTGCATAGCTATCCTTTTTTTTTCATGGCTTTTAAAATCTTTAAAAAAAATTTGCTTTTTAATTGAAAAGTATTATAAATTTCAAAAGAAATCATTGACAACGGTTCTTGATATAATTACATGATAACTGGTACTCGGTAGTGGTTTCGCTACTGTATATCTTGTGGTGGTTGGTCTGGTAACCATCCTCCCTTCAATGGCGGACTCCTATCCGGTTCGTAAGTGTGACGTCGTGTTAATTTAAACCACACCCACGGCACACAGAGTAGTATTGGAACTGAAGTAGTAATCAGTGGTAATTGCTAGTAATCAGTGGTGCGTGCAGGTATATGTCTGACGCAGTGGCTTACAAACCGGATTGGACGATTGCTGGGTCACAAAGGTCGTTGCTAGGGGAAATACTAGACTCCAACCCAGCCTGTGATTATTGGTGGTGTAGTGAAAGGTTAATGCCAAACCGAGTACATATTTAGTCCAGCATGCTAATATATTTTGTTTTTCTTTTGCTTTTTTTATTTTCCCATGCTGCTTCAACGTTATGTTTTTCTCGCTTCTGAACTTTGTGTGCTCGGTGTCCCTTTGCTCTACTTGACCTTGCGACCTCTGCACTCTGACCTCGCCCCCTGCTGTGCTGTGCACTCCCCTCCCCCCTTCCCATTGGCTGGCTGCATGTTGTGTGCATGTTTTCTTTGTGTGCGTGTGCTGGTGCTGCTGTTCATTCGCCGTCATCTGTTGTCATGGCAACCAAGACCGGAGCGTCTAATCACTTGCAGAACCACCATCGTATGCGCCTGGCACAGCAAGGCCGCAGTGTAGGTGCCATTTTTGTTGTTGTTGCTTATTTTACCTCTACATTAATCCCTCGGTCCAGTTTTATAGACCAGCTAAGCATAAAATGTAATGCTTAGCAGATTTCGCTGACACAGAAAGTTGAGCAAAAAGCAAACTATGAACAGAAATCAACTTAGAACAAGGCGGAAGCATCCCATGCCCTTTCAGTTTGCAACTGTTTTGCTTACCTGATATTTTTTATACTTGGCAAATTTCGCTGCTTAGTAGCTTCCAAGAAATGGGCCTCTGGAAAAAAAACCCCCAAAAAACAAGAAAACAGCTTTCATTTCATGCCAAATAAATCGCTTCTCAAGCTTCATCCAGGAATCAATATTATTCATCTAGGAAATTTCCATAAAGAGTTTTCACAATCTACCACTTTTTTTTTTTAAAGAAATGGATACAAATTAAGAAATAAGTGGAAATTCGGACTTGTTGGTTTTGTGAACAAGATTAACCAGTTTTTTTTTATCTGGAGTTTGAGATACTGACCAATGTCAACCAGATTAAACCAGTTTCAACCAGTTCTGTCAAGTGCTGACCAGTGTTGATTAGCATTCATTTTAAGTGGTTACAAATTTTAACTAGTTTCAAATATGTTTTGACTGGTGTTAACCAGTCTTAACTAATGTGGATATACACTAACATTAACTAGTGTCTCTACAAGGTTCAACTAGTTTGACCAGGTTTTGACTAGCATTGACAAGTGTTAACTAGATTGGATAAACATATTAACTAGCATGTGACTGGTGTTGCCTAGTATTTATTGGTTCTGTCTAAAGCACATTGTGTAGGGTTTGTATTTATGAAGACCAAACGACTTACTTCTTTGTTTGTTGCAGACGGGTGGTTCGTCAAGCCACGCCCAGGGGGCCAAACGAATGCGGGTTGCGGCCTCGGCATCCAGCCATGGCGGGGCACCGGGCGGCGGAATGATGCAGAACGACTACCAGGCACAACAGGTAAAGGTGAGAAGTCGTGGTCTGCTGGAACCAGTTCATTCTTGGAGGAATTCAACTATGCTTGATCAAAAACAAAATAACTGAAACTTTTTTTTTTTAAGAATCGTCACCGTCATGCTTATACTTTGTATTCACATAGCAGAAAAATTTATTAAAGTTTTTTCCATTTTCGCTTCAAATTCTCCAAACAAAAATACCACTTGGTCCATTTTTCGAATAAAAAGTAAGTACTAATGGGTCAAGTGCATCAAAATAAGAGCTGGAAGGACTTGTGGAAGTTTAGTATGACATCACAAGTTGCTCATGAATATGCATATCCAGATCTGCACCCAGACTTGCCGATATTTATAAACTATGCAGTTTTATTCTGTGGCGGCAAGAAAATTCAACAAACTAATAGGCCAAAATTAAGATGGTCAACTATCAGTCATAGGACTTTAAAATATTTTTTGGAAAAACAAAATCAGAAATACATGTATGTTTAAAAAAAAATGGACTTAAAGTCTAGGTAGAGTACCGGAACAGAATTCCATAGGTCACAGGTTCGAATCCCGCTTGTCAAATTTCCTGCATTTCACCTCCTACAGAAGCACATGATGCCGGGCTACCAGCAGAGCGGCACCACCCAAAATAGCGGCACGGCCACGTCCAAACAGCAGCAGGGCATGATGTACACGTCCAACACAGTACAGAGCAACAGCGGGTCCTACAGCCAACAGCACCAGCAACACCAGCATAGATACTGAGATAGACAAACCGCTGCAGTTGTGTGGAGAGATGGACTGTTGCCAACACTAAGCAGCAACGATACTTTGAAAACTCAAAAATCTTGGGCTGGAATTATAGCCTCTTAATTCACAATGAAGTCAATAAATAATTTAGACTTCAAATGAAGTTGATTTTTTGGTCCACTTGAGGTTTTCCCTGTCCAGCTGCCATATTTGTCCGTTTCTTGGAATAAACAACACATACATGTGATGTATTTCCAACAGTGACTCTGTTCCACGAGCAGGGTCTGTCGTGGCTGACCCGGGTGAGCCCCGAGAATGACGTAGGAACTAATCAAACGGCACGGGGCTAGCCCAAGTTGATCCAGGTGAGCTACTGGAACGCACCCAAAATACTCTACGAGACTGAAGCGGTCATGCCAGCTGGTCTGGTGGTTGAACAACAGCACTGTCAACTATGTAGTTGAGCAAACATGCTGACAAACTGGTGTTAGCAGAAACTTGTTAGCGTTGGAACATGCAGCAAGAGATATGAGATAGACAGCAACAATGCAACAACAGCAACACTAGCAGCAGCAGCAGCAAAAATAAGTGTGAAATACTTCAATAAGAGTCGGCAAGTTGTACTTGCAACAGCAAGAACAGTCGAAACAGCAGCAGCAAAAATGATAAACAGATGTCGTAGCAAAAACTAAAATTGCTTCGGTAATAAAAGACTTTAGTCTTTAAAAAGAGTGTTTTATGTGGAACGGGGGAAGCAACAGTAGCAGCAGCAACATGGGCATTAAGAGATAACATTTACATGGTTGGCTAAATAGTCCGTAATTGCAGCAACGCCATTCATAAAAGTGTCACAAACAAAAGTAACTAAAAAGAAAAAGAAAATAAATTCAGGTTTGTCAAAAAAATGGGGTGTACTAGCAGTGACAAGTAGGACTTCTGTAAAAAAATTCCCCAGAAGCAAGTTTTTGAGTTATCTTTCTTTGCTCTTTTTTTTTGTTGAATAGTAACTAACATTTATTTTCGTAAGTTTACTTTAAAGTTGTGCATTATGAAGAAATTTCAGGTTGTAAAGTTCAACTGAGATCACGAAGACGATCACGAAAGACAAACAAAAAAATGTATGGGACTGTAAATGGTTACTATAATTTATTTTATAATACAGGTTGCCTTTACAAATTATCATTTAACATTGTTAAGTAGCTTGGGATTTTCTCCCTTTTTTTGAGAAAGTTTCCAACATTTTCTTTGTGTACTGCAAAAAAAGTGAACTATCACCGTGTAATAAAATATCAAGAAAAGTTACAGTTCATTTGTAAATTGAATTTCTATTCACCAAAAAAACCCTTTGTAAACGACCCTCAAAATCCATTATTTTAATGCCTGCTCACTTGTGGTTTAAATTCTTCACAAAAACCACAGAATGTTCTTTCCAAAACAGTAAACATTTTATATTTTGCTGTCAATTTTATCAATGCATTGAAATAGAAATTGTCAAAAATTGACCAAACTTTTCTTTGGAAATGTCAACCAGCATGTGGCAGTTTCCAGCAAAAATGCTGACATTCAATAGGATTATTTACTACCAAATTTTACACAGAAAATAAAGTTAATCTCTCTTTACACAGGAAAAAAAGGCATTTTTATAAATTTTTGGCAATATTTGTTTGGTGTAAAGTTTGAAGATTCAAGAAACTGAAGAAAAAAAAAGATAAATATATTTTAAATTCTCAAGTAAATAACATAAATTAACCCAAGAACAGGTGAGAATAAAATCTCAACTTGTATTCTTAAAGAAATAATTTTACTCCATCATACCTCAATCATTCCATCAGACTTAAAGTGGGAATCCACCTTTCTTACAACACGATTAAAGTGGTTAACTGTTTAAAGATACACCAAGTTACCTATTCAACACTATTAATGAGGCAACTGGTACCCAGCAGCCGCTTATGATTCTTAGTAGTCTGAATGTACACTTCATGACGGTATACCAACTGGTCTAGCTCCCTGTCTCCTGCCACCTCTGCAATCAAAACTCTGCTTCAAAGTCACCAGCTTTTGTGTGGTTGGCAGTCGGTTTATCGGTTACCAGTGAACTGACTTCACTCTTGGAAGTGGTCAACCAATTGGTCTAGTTCCCCGTCTTCTAGTGCTACCTCCGTGTTGAACTGTGCAGTGATGTCGGCTTCTTGTACGTCCAGGCACACACTGTACTGTTGGTCCATGCCTAAGTAGCAGTCGCTCATGATATACAAGGCGTAGATCACACGTCCTATGGGCGCCAACAATTGTAAAACTTCAGTGTTGTAATAGTTGGTCACATGTTAATCACATGTAAATCATATGCAAATCATATGCAAATCCCATGTTTATCACAAGTCAATCATATTTTATTCACATGTCAATCACAAGTTAACCATCACATGTCATCACATGTCAATCACAACTTAACCATCAGTTAAATCACATTTCAATCACAAGTCAATCACATGCCAATCACATGTCAATCACAAGTCAATCATATGTCAATCATATGTCAATCACATGTCAATCACATGCCAATCACAAGTCAATCACATGCCAATCACATGTCAATCACAAGTCAATCATATGTCAATCACAAGTCAATCACAAGTCAAACACAAGTTACATCACTTGTGATTGAAGCTACAAGCCAAAGTCTAGTACCCCGCCTACCTGTGGTCTCCGGCGTGTAGAAAGCCAACTGGACAACGTTGCGTCCCTTCACGTAGCCAATCCGCTTCAAGGCCAGCAACTCTTTGCTCTCCAGGTCCCCTAAGACGATAAACCAACCCTCGTGTTTGGACTTGGGGAAGCGGGGGGCGTGGCACTTTGTGTCACCCTGGTATTTAAATGAACAAAGTCGAATGAGGAATAAGAAACTAGGTGTGGTCAAAGGTGGACCACACCCTGATTTGATGTGATGAGAACTGACTTGGAAAGGAAACATACAAAAAGCATCACAATCTTTGGATCTTTAGGGCGTGGTCAACGATGGACCACGCCCTGATTTGATGTTGAGATGAGAATTGACTTGGAAAGTAAAAAGGCAAAAAGCCTTATAATCTGTGGATATTTAGGGCATGGTCAACCATGGACCACGCTCTTATTTGATGTTGAGATGAGTACTAACTTGGAAAGAAAGAGAATAAGAATCTTTTTATCTAGGGGGGTGGTCAATGACAGACCACACCCATAATTGAAGCAAATAGGATATTTTGGATTTTTCTCTGCTCCATCCTACCTGATGTTGTCTGTGTAGTCTCCTCAAGTCAACCTGCAGCACGTACTCTTGATCAGCGTGGACGGGGAGGTAGTCTCTGTCTTTTGGAAGACCAGCTGAACAAAATACAAAACAAAAATGTATTCAGTTGCGTGACCTTTTGGCAGGTTTCCCATTTTAGCTATGCTGGTATTTTTTTGTGTCATGAAAATGGCCCACTGGAAAAGATTCTGAGCCCAACTTTATAAAAATGAACAAAAAATGCTTAGTAAATCTATACACTAAGCAAAAAATGAGCTGAGTACCAGTCAACAGCAATAGACATTGTATGACATTTTGGCTGGTTTCCTATTGTTTTGCTAAGCCAGTATGTTCTGTGCTGAGCAGCTCTAGGTAATTGGAGTGAGGTCTTACTGATGTGCGTTGTCGGCAGGGGACGTTCCTCTTCCTCGCCTCCGTCAGCCCACCAGCCGCGGACACTCAGCTTGGGTTGAATTACGGGAAGTTTCTGGATCACTTTCCATATCTATACGGCAATGGTAATAGATATTAGGGGCATAAAAAACAGTCATATAGATAGACAGACAGCCCAACCAACCAACTGCCTGACCGATACAGAAGGGACAAGATGGACAAACAGCCCGCCAGACTTACAGAGACAAACAGATGGACAGCCCGACCAACCAACAGACAGGAAAGAAAGGCACCATTTCTGAAACACAAATTAACAACCCTGGCAACGAAAATTTGGTCTTTTTGCTTTTGTTAATTAGTTTTCAAAGATTCTACTTGAAAAAAGGATATGAATAATATTTGAATATCCGACACTGCCTTGATAGAACATGATTTTTTACTTGGTTTTGTTCAGGGCACTGGAAATAAAGACTAGTGTCAATGAGGACAGCAGAGAATGAGTGTGAGTTATTACACTATACATTTTTTTCTGTGGACCACTTATAAATAGTTGACTCACCTCTTCAAGTTGCCCATCTGATACCTCAGGGGTTAGCATCCTGTGCAGGGTAGATCTGTTTCCTCTGCACACTGCTAGGAGCTCTGGCAAACTTTGGATTGGATTGGTTTTCTTGCCTTTAGTTGGGGGTCTGTAAGCCACACAAAAATAGTTCATTTCTCAAACTTTTCTCACTGCACTTTCAAGTGGCTACAAAGTGAACATTGAGAACTGTTCTACTTACTTGAAACAGTGGAGGATGTTGTGTTCGACGTGGGGCAGGGTCAGTAATGCGTTGTCGTGCAGCCAGCGTCCCTGTAGCGTCATCTGTACCAGGTTCATGACACGTAGGGCCGTTGCAAGCCAGCCCTGGTCGGCCGAAACGTCAATCATTGCCTGAAGAGAAAGACAGAAAGAGAATTTTGTCAGTTATGATGTACTGTGGTGTTAGAGGGATGGGTGTTGCTGTGGAAAACCCCAATCGAGGTTTCTGTTGGCAAAATTATTGCTGGTCTGAGACATTTGCGACATGAGGGGTACCAGTTTGGGAACAGCATTTTTGGTCTAAAGAATTGGAAAGCATTTAGAATATTGAACAACAGTGCTGCCATGAAACGCCACCTAGTGTCAGAGTTTGTCTATTCGCGTTGGCTGTTAATAGCGCCCCCTGTTGTCAGATGAAGATGCCTGCCCTTTTACCTGCATGATTCGTATGGACTGGTCGAGCACGGATTTCAGGTCAGTGGAGTAGTCGCTGGAGGGTAAGGGTTGTCGCTCGTAGTGGGCCTGTAGGAGTAGGTGGGCCTTGGTGTGGGGGCTGTCGAAGGAGTGAGGGTTGACCTCTAATGGGAGCTTCTTGGCAAGGTCGCTGTGGAGAATAAATAGTTTTGGGTGCAATTATTGGAAGCGAATGGTAGGAGGACTTGTTTAAAGGGAATGTACATCATTGGCTTTTGCTGTAATTTTCAGAAATGAACTATTTGAGGGGTTAGTATAATAGATCAAATATTGTTACACTGACATGTTTGAAGTTTTGTGTTCGAAAATGCTGGAAAAACCAAGAAAAACAAAAATGTTCAAGTAGTCTGGTTCCTTGACTCCACTAAAGATAAAATGGATCAATTTATAAATGCCGGAAAATTGTAAGGTAAGGGAACCAGTCTAGCTGGCCTGCACCCGTTCATGAAACATGTAACCAATAGCAAACAAAATCTGGACTGAAAAATATGTAAAGTTGGAGCAGTAGTTGAAAAATAGTTAGGTTTTTCCAACGGTAGTCGGCCGACCACTGTTGGAAATGTATACATTTCTTGAAAATGACTTCACACCAGGTGCCATAATTTTACAGGATGCTTTAGACTGTCATTTACCAACATCCTAGTAAGGTATTTCGTAAAAACTTGGTAGTTTTATTTTTCGATGTTTGCAAATGTTGTATATTCCCTTTAAGTAAAATGAAATTGGATGCACAATAGATGATAAATATAAGCAAAAATATATAATGGATATGAAAACATAAATAATAACGATTCCACTGTTTGTTGACGACTAGTGGATTGATTAAAAATTGTATACAAAAAAACATGTTTGATAATTATTTTACAATTTTATACTGTAAACTCATTTGGCAAAGTCTGGCCGAAGTTAGACATTCTTGTTTGACGAATTGACCTTGAAGGTGTACACACAAGTCTTGCAAATATTTCTACACAAAGGTTACTTTGGCTAAAGAAAAATGAATTAAACAAAAAACTGTACGTTTTGAAGTATTTTTGTTATTTTTTTTCTTTTTTAAGCTTTGACTTTTCCAGGCTGTTCAGGAATGGAGTAAAATTTAACCAGTTATTAAAAATATGAAAAGTTCAAATGTGGCCTCTGACCTATTGATGCCATCTTCATTGTGTCTGACTGGCAGCATCTCATACTCATGGGCATCCTGGGGGAAAAAAACACGTCAATTATTTTTTTCATTTAATTATTCTGCTTTTCCTATAACTTTTTCATTCAAATATTTGTCATTATGATCCTCTCTTTCTAAGTGCTTTTGTAGAACCTCCAGCTCTCGTAAAAAAAAAACGCCTCCCACTTAACATAGGATAAGTACTGTGGACCCAATTGTATTTGTCTTTGCAAAACATCCAGTGGCAAAAAAACACTCTCTTTCAGAAAGCACGGTTAAGAAATGTGCTTGTGGAGGGAACATAAAAGTGGCCAAAAGTTACAAGAGGACAAAAATCAACAGTACTTTTTATGGGGGGGGGGCTTGCACTTTTAGGACCATGGTACCAAAAGGGTTTATAAACATAAATTAATGGAGGACTTGATTTGAGTGACGTACAGAGAGTACGGAGATGAGCTCTGGCAGGCTGGTATCGGGGCCGAGGGAATCTCTGAACATGCGGACAGACTGGTGATGGAGGTAGTAGAAGGAGCAGATACGGCCCAGAGTCAGGGGCTCGATGGTGCGGTTATCCTGACAGGAAAAACAAGAAGGAAGGTCATTATTGGAGATTTGTTTTGACAATTTGAACAGTTTTTATGGTCATGAATAAAATATCTGTAATTTACAGCAATCTGTTGTCACTTTTGATTTGGAATTTTTGTAGATCAATTTTTTTCTGTTTTCTTTTTTTTTTTTGAGGGCAGGGATTAATCTGAACTTATCTTTTCCATGATGTGACCAATGTTTAAGAGGTCATTATCAAACATTTTGAAATGAAATTGGGGGGGGGGGGTTGTTAAATATCTTGGGAAATTAGTTTAGCTGTTTGGGTACAATTAAAAGAAAAACCTTTTTTATAGTTTAAGAAAATTGCCAGATTTAAAAAAAAAAAAATATATATATATATTTTTTATATTTTTTTATATAAATATTTTCGGAAATAATATAAAAGTCCAATACTTCAGTGGGGGGGGGTCAACATACCAGAATGGAGGAAGATGAACTGAAATTCAAATAAGAAAATGACAAAAAGTATCCGGGCCCCCTTCTAAATTCACTGACTGCTTACCTCTCCGATAGCCAGACAGTAGCAGTTCTCCAGCTCAAGCAGAGATCTCTCCACAAGGAAGGATAAGTACTTGTTGATGCTTGAATGGTCTGTCTCCTCCAACTTGTAATAACTTGAAAGAAAGAAAAATAACAGAAATGATGGAAATTACAAAAAAAAAATGGTTTTAAGCACAAGCCAATTTGTGTGCAAAACTTAGCAGGAAATATACTTAGAAAATGCACCTGCTAAGCAAAAATGAGTTGGGAACCAGTCACAGGTATTACATAATACACAACATTTTGGCTGGTAACCTTTTTTTCTGCTAAACAAATATTCTGTGCTTAGCAAATTTAGCCCAAATCTTAGATATGCAAAGTTGTGACAACGATGCCACTGGGTTCACCGTCTTATAATTTTTCAAAGACAAGAGTAAAATGTTTGTGCCCAGAGAACTTCAAGATGTTAAGTTAATTACAACGGGGTTGACATCAATTGCAGGATTGTCGTTTATTCTCACGGTACCTGGGGTTCATGACGAGCCGTCTGAAGAAGTACGTCCAGGTGATGTAATCCATGGCGTCTTGCTTGGATGAGATGGTTCCAGCGACAATCTCGGCATTGAGATGTTCTGCCAGAACATCCAGCAAACTTGGAAGGAAAAAAAAACCACAAACATGAATGCAATGTATTAAACACAAAAGATGTCAATATTAGCATAATTGAAAAAGATAAGGCGAGTCGAACTAGACTTAAACAACCCAGTACCCAATCAGTCATACAAACTGCAAAATAACATCAACACAATATTTAACTGACATGTATACATCTTGCACAAATTAGTGCTGTTTATGTTAGAGTGTCCTTGTCTCCTGAATTACATTGTACCAAATGAATAATTTCATTGAAGCAATTTTCAGATTTCGTATTCTGCAGAATTCTGAAAAAGTCTGTTTAAATTTTCTGGGGTTTTATGGGAACTGAGAAATTTCAAATGTGCACACATGGGGTAACTCAAAATAGACCACATCGTTGCATTGTCGCTGCATTGTCGCTGCAAAAAATGCCATATTGTACATGCTGAATTTTAAGTAGTCTATTCTTGGTGAAACACAATATAGCTATTGTAATTTTATTGGGTCAGTTTTGTGGTTGATTAAGCAATGCAATCTAAGGTTAGATCTTGATTGCATTGCTTAATCAACCACAAAACTGACCCAATAAAAATACATTAGAAAGAAGACAAAATTGTTAATATCCGTTATGTAATTGAGAGCCATTCCAGGCCACTGGACAAATTGATTGCAAGAAAACTGAGAATAGCCAGTTAATTAAGACAAAATGGGGATGACTGAAAGCTGCATTACCATGGGAACAAGATATTATTGTTCCATATAACTGTGAACAATGGATAATAAATAAGCAGCCCGGAAACACAATCAATACAAGGGCCAGGAGGGGGGGGGGGGGAAGGGAGGATAATAGCAGTGACGTAAGCTGAAATGGTCAACCACTTCATAAAAGAGGCAACAAGTGACAGACCAAGGCAGTAAAAATATGAGATTACAATTTGCAGTACAGAAAGCTTTTTAAATGTGGTGAGATAAACTGACAGCACGGACAGAGCACGTACCTCTTGAAACTTAAAACAAAATCTGCTGTACGACAAACCATCCAACATGAATCCAAAACGTGCTGATGCAACCGAGTTGACGAATGAATCGCTAATACCTCATCTGGATCTGCACGACGAGCCAATATCACCGTACGAGGTTTCCGTCGGCGTTTTAATGGCTCTGACGGTTGTTTTAATTCTGACTCTCAATCCAATATGCCTTGTGGTGCTCCGTCGCGCCAGCGGTATCCAAGAAACGACCAAGGTGTTCATGGCTTCACTCACCGTGTCCGACATCTGCATCGGGCTGTTCTGGGTGCTCCCGGAGCTAACACAACATTTCACCAGGGAGTGGGCGCTGGGTGAATTTCTGTGCATCGCCTGGGGCATCTCATCACCATTCTTTGGCGCGATGAGCGTATTGTCACTCATGCTTCTCACAATGGATCGCTTTGTTGCCATTATTTACTCGCTGCGTTATCCAACACTGATGACTTTGAAGCGAGCAAAGATAATCATCGCTATCGCGTGGTCTCTCACATTGACCATTTTAATAATTGTATTTGGCATCTTTTTAAGGAATTTTGTCACACTGACCCATCCTCACCAATGTCTGAGCCCCTTATGCGAATTTTGTCCGCTCCTTGTGATGTCTCTTATGCCACTCTCTCTCATAATCATCTGCATCCTCTATGTCTACATCCTTAAGGTTGCACGCCAGCAGGCACGCCGCATCGCCGCCCAGAATCAGATCAGCATTGCCTGGGGTGATCAGAACGCTCCGCAGAGAGTCAGCACAAAGTCCGCTACCACGGTGTTCATCATAACCATGACGGTCTTCATATGCTGGGCCCCGACTATCATTAACATTGTGATTGCTCCTATCATTTTTGATCTGTTCCCGCTAAATCTGACCTTGATGTCCAGCTTGATCTTTTTCAGCAACAGTTGGCTGAATGTCGTCATTTACTACCTGAGGAACAGGGAGCTTCGGCAAGCCCTGCACGAATTGGTAGCTTCGTGCTTTCGCCGGTGATTCTAATGAAACTCTCGTAAAAACCCAACCTTAACTGTCCCAGCAGGAATGAAGTCAAAGCATCGTTCAAACTTTCAAAACTATCTGAAGTGAAGTGTTCTTGACGGTCACAATATGGCCGAAGTAGCGTCAACTTTGGCTGATGAGACAATGTTAGACATACATGTACTCAAAGACACAAATTTTATTATCAACTAAAGAATCATACAACTTAAGTAACTACACATTGGAGAAGTGTAAAACGGAGAAAATTTTAGAAGTGCCGTTTGACTGTAAATATCTGACAATAATTGTATTTTAAGTAAAATAATCTTGGATTTAATTGTCAACAAAGTAAGATTTGAACAAATGTAGACATTTAATTTCTAAGTCAATTTTGGAAGTAAATGTTTTTCTCAAGTTTTTGAAGTGATAATGTGAAAGTAGATTTCGAACAAAATTGATATTTAGAAATAAATATTTGTATCAAGCATGAAACGTGGAAAGAACCAACCATATCCAGTCTCTTTTCTAAGGATTACGTCTGTGATTCCCTTTGAGAAAATACTGTTAGTAAACCTTGAATTTCCCTGTACACCATTTTATTGACAGGCGAATATAGTACTTAATGGACTCTGTGCATGGACAATAGAGGGCGGAGTTTGACCACTTACAAGAGGTCATTATTCACGGTGAAACAACCTATCCAAAACTGGGGCTAGTACAGTGGATTGGGTCAATTTCATGGTTGATTAGGCAACGTTACAACTGAGGTCACTGGATGTAATGAAGAGGAAACTAACATCCGTTCTACAATTGAAAGTCATCCGTGGGTGATGATTGGACAAATCGATTGACAGAAAAATTATGAATGGCCGGTCCAGTCAATTTAGGTGAGTGTTTTGAAAATGAGAGCAGGGTTGTCATGGGAACGGGATAGAGTTTGTCAGACGTTCTGTAAAAATTCTTGAAATGAATAAGTGACCTGGAAGGGCCGATCAAGCAACGGTCAGCAATATCGATGAGAAAGGGGGATAAAACAATAGGGACGTTTGTCAAGATGACCAACCACTATATCATGCTGTGAGGCCGCGACGATACTGAATAGCCACAGCAGGTGACGTAACCATGGCAGTGAAAACAGGAGATCACAACTGGCACACGGCGGAAACGATGTGCAGTAAAAAGCAAACCAGTAGACCTACAACTGTCAGCCAGTAGATCTACGCAGTGAGATAAACTGACAGCACTGACACAGCGGGAATCTCTGACAACTTTTCTGTTACTTGCACAACCAAACTATCCATCATGGGTGCGACAGAACTTGGCCCAATGGAATCAGCCACAGGAGTGCCCGACCAGTTGCAAAAAGACCCAATTCAGGTTCTCATCTACGTGTTAACAACTCTGGCGGTCGTGTTGATACTGACTCTCAACCCGATATGCCTTGTGGTGCTCCGTCGCGCCAGCGGCATCCAAGAAACGACCAAGGTGTTCATGGCTTCGCTAACCGTGTCCGACATCTGCATCGGGCTGTTCTGGGGGCTCCCAGAGCTGACGGTATATTTCAGTGACCGCTGGTATCTGGGGGAATTTCTCTGCAATGCCTGGGCTGTTGTATCGGGATCGTTTTACACACTGAGTATTTTGTCTCTCGTTCTCCTAACAATGGATCGCTTTGTTGCCATCGTCTACTCGCTGCGCTATCCCACACTGATGACTTTGAAGAGGGCTAAAATCATTGTGGCCATCACGTGGATCCTGACTCTGGCATTTCACATCATTCTATTTGGCATTTATTTGCCAAATCACACATCCACAAGTCATGACAGTTGCGACTACATCATATGCAATTTTTGTTCGGCCGTATTTGGATCCATACTGGCAATCTCTATCGGAATAATCCTCATCCTTTACATGTACATTCTGAACGTCGCCCGTCAACAGGCACGTCGCATCGCCGCCCAGAATCAGATCAGTGTTGCCCACGGTGATCAGATCGCTCCGCAGAGAGTCAGCACCAAGTCGGCTACCACAGTGTTCATCATAACCATGACGGTCTTCATATGCTGGATGCCAACATTTGTCCTGCTTGTGGTACTCCAGGCGAGCGGTAATAACCACTACAATTTCACGTTGATGGCCAACTTTGTTTTCTTTAACAACAGTTGGCTGAATGTCGTCATTTACTACCTGAGGAACAGGGAGCTTCGGCAAGCCCTGCATGAGTTGGTTGCTTCATGCTTTCACCGGCGACGCTAAATTTACTTCACTTCACGGAACAAACTACAAGCACCCCCTCACATACTGTCACCACTTTTATCTTGACTGAACACTATCGGTCACAAGTCAGCCAATGCGTGAATTGCGCCAGTCGATCACAATAAGTCCAAAAGCAGCGTGGACTTAGACAAATGTTTATGCATTCTTACAAAAGTCACATTTAGAAAGCCACATTTAAAAATAAGTTCATTCTTAGAGTTTATGAATTTATTAGTGCACCTTCAGAATTAATTATTGTCATAATTTGGATCATTGTGAATTGACTTACTTGGACTCCACGGGGAACGGCTCGTACAGGAACTTCTTGTAGAAGTGCTTCTTGATGTCGTGGACGAAGATGACGGCCGTGCCTTGGTCGTCAAACTGGGGCCGACCAGCTCGGCCCATCATCTGGAGCACATCTGGAGAATGAGTACAACATTTTAGAAATAGCACACAAGTATCCCTTAATATCGGCACTCTTTGCTTTTTTGGGTTGCTTTATTCACGCAAAAAACAAACTTACCTGTGATTGGGAAGTCGACGTATCGCTTGGTCTTGCCGTCAAAGAATTCCGTTCCCTTGATCACGACAAGATGGGCGGGGAAGTTGACACCCCAGGCCAGGGTGCTGGTAGCTATCAAAACCTGCAAGGACAAAAAATGAGTTTTTTATCAGAATGAAAAGCTAAGTATGCTCTAATGCAGATGAAAAAATTAATAACTGAAGAATGTCCTTAAGATTCATTTTCTGGGATCTTGTCGCAAAGTATCTATTCAAGGAATAAATGTTAGCACTGGTGAAAAGAGCAGCACTGTAGTACCTGTATTTTCTGGTTGACGAAGAGTTCCTCCACTGTCCTACGATCTCTCTCGTGCAGCCCGGCGTGATGCATGCCGATACCGAACGCTAGACACAACTTGAGATTGGTGTCCTTAATAGCGCTTATCAGATTCTCAATCTAAACGGCCAAGGAAGATTTGTTTAAAAAACTCACAGCTCAAAAATTTGCATTAGGTAATAAATATTTATGCACAACAATACTTGTTTTGATTCCCGACACTTTGGAAAATTGACGAATGAAATAATAAACCAGCTCATGCATATGCATTTGTTGATGAATATTAATGCATAACAATACTTGTTTTGTTTCCAGACACATTGGGAAATTGACCAATGAAACATGCAAATAGCTCATGAATATGCATTAGGTGATGAATATTCATATATAATAATACTTGATTACTTTCTGGACACATTGAAAAATTGACCAATGAAATAAGCAAATAGCTAATGAATATGTATTGAATACTAATGAATAATAATACCTTTTGTTCCTCCATGTGAAGCCACTGTTTGGGGTTGTCCTCAGCAGCTAGGAAGGCTATCAGATCCAGAGCAGTCAGCCGGGTCTGACGACGTGAGGACACGAAAATCAAAGTCGGCTTCATAGGAGAGTGGGTTCGAATCGCTGTAAACATAAACCCAAAAAACAATCCTTGTTTTTGTTTAAAACACAACTTTCTTTTGATTTGATCAGTCAGAATACAAATGTATGTATTTTAGCTTTAAAGAATATTAGTGATATTTGTGTAAGCACACACAAAAAAATTGCTTAGCAAAAACAGGTTACCAGCCAAAATGCCGTGCAAAGTATATTGCTCGTGACTGGTTTCCAGAAGCAAATATTTTCTGCTTAGCAGCTTCAGCCAAATTGGGCCCAGGGTTCGTCGTACGCACCTTGGAATGTAGGCTTGTTCATCGTGGCCATGCGAGGGCAGTAGTGCTTGCCGGGAAAGCCCTGAATGTGGACCTCCAAGGGCACGGGACGGACCGACGGGCGGAAGTTGAACAGCCCATTCTGTTGGTTATAAGAGAAAAAGTATCATCCATTATTAAACAAAAGCTAATGTAATATTTCTTTAAATAATTCAGTCACTTTTGGACTCTATGCAAATGTACCCCTTCAACATTGACAATGAAACACAGCGCCAGTATTGAAGGACACGCTAGCGCCATGCCATTTGCAAATTTTTTCTTACTATCGTTTATTTTGGGGTAACGAAACCAAGAATTTGTTGAAAGCACCCACAGTACTGTTACAAGTCTGAAGAAACCTTAGTTTGGGAAAGTGAAGAAATGTATGTTGAGTTTTAGAGCTGGGAGGAAATTTCTGGAAGAATTTTCTAGGGAAAACTCACGGAATCAGGTAGGGGCTGAAAACCCGATCCTCGTGTGGACCAGGGCTGGAATCGAACCTGGACCATAGAAGGTGAAGACAGAACCACTGTGTCAACTGACTACTCTATCTATTGGAACATTAGGCTCAGGAGTAGGTAAAGAAACAAACCTGTTTGATTCCAAGCCAGTCCGCAAGGTCCCTGGCGTTAGCGAGTGCTGTGGACAGGCCGATTACTCGCAAGGGTTGCTCCGTGTGCGACGAGATGAAGTTAGTTCTGGAGACGATAACCTCCAAGACTGGTCCTCGCTCGTCCCCTGAAAACAAATGATGTGTTACAGTATGACCAGAGATTATTCCATTTCTTGGTGGAAATTAAGTTTGAATTAACTGCTAGATGACTTTGATTTACCCAACAAGTGAATCTCGTCAATGACTAAGAGCGACACGGCCTTGACGTATTTCCGGGTCTGCCAGCTCCGACTGACGCCGTCCCATTTCTCCGGGGTGGTGACGATCACGTCGGCGCTGCCGATGGCCCTGATGTCTGGCATCACGTCTCCCGTCAGCTCTATGACACTGTGACGTAAGAAAGGGAACTGACCATCAGAATATTTTTCAAACAGAAAGCTTGCGTACAGCACAAACAAAAAAGTCTAGCCAAATTGCTCTGATTCATAAATATTACTCTAAACTTTACATTATCTAAACATTTTTATATCACACAATTTCTCCTCAGCTGAAAGGAATATGTCTGATTTCCTGTAAAATTTATTGAAGTAACATTATCAGATAACATTGGCTTTTAAACTTAATCAAACATTTTCAAACAAAACCAACCAAAGTTTGCATAATAAGAAAAGTGTGATGCATTGTTGTTTTACTTTTTGCCCAGTTGTTGTTGCAGTCGAACCTTCCAATCTTCAATTCTTTCTCGGACTAGAGCTTTCAACGGCGCGATGTAAACAACCTACGAGGAAAAAAAAATGAAATCTTCAAATATTACCATTTTATAAAAATTCATAAATACTATCATTTTGCATGATCTTCCTGCATCACTCTGTACAATTCTACATTTTTCCAAACAAAAATGGTATTTTGTGGGTTGTACCTTCATGCCTGGCTGTTCGTTGAAGACTCTAAACATGGCGATTTCGGCCGCGATGGTCTTGCCTGAGCCCGTGGGTGCGCCCAGCAGGACATTGTGATTGGTATGGTACAGGGTGTGGAAGATCTGTGTCTGAAAAAAATCAAGAAAGACTCTGTCAAAAAAAAAGATTTTTCAAATCAAAATGGAGACAGAGGGCGAATATGAAACAGAAATTGAAAGAGGAAACTGAAGGATTGAATGTTTGTACCTGTATGGGGTTGAAGTGAGTGAACTTGTACAATGCCTCAAATTCAGGCCTGCCCAGCGCTGTGATGGGTAGTGGAATCAAATCTAAGAGAGCTGAAATTAAAACGACAAACGAAAAATTTTAAATGTTGGTTAAGATGCCTGCACTAGTAAACAGGAAGTCGTGGGATTTGTTTCACAATTTTTTGGTAAATAAAGAACATTATCAGCCTATTATCCTTGTTAAGTGAACTATTAAACCATTAGCAATAACTTACTGAAGCAAATTTCTTTAAAACAAATCTAGCTTTCAGTAAATTTGAAGGAAAAACAAAACAAAAATATGACAGAATACTGAGTACTTTTGATAAGCTGCAAAGTGAATTTATTTTTTATATTTTTGTTTATTTTTTATCTATTAATTATTATTATTATTAGCAGTGTTATTTATTTTTGTTGGGGGGGGGGAGAGGGGGTGGCATAAGCAATATTTAGCCGTACACCAGCCAAGAATTGCATACATGACATGGGGCTCTGAATTGGTAACCCTCCTCATTTTCCACGCAAAATGCTAAGCAGCTCCTGAATATTTTCAGATTATACAAGATAAGCAGAAATGCTAAGCGATATTCAGCTGTGCACCAGCCAAAAACTGTGCATGTCACAAGCCTTTCTCAAATGGTAACCCTATCACCAGCTTAGCAATCTGCTAAGCAGCTCTCCTTACATGTGTGAGGCGGATGCTTCTCCGGCAGGATCAGATGCTGGAAGGAGATCGGAAAGACGGTCTCGGACCCCAGCCAGCGATCTGACATGGCCTTGATGTAGTACTGGCTGGGTAACGGCTCAAAGATGGGAATCGTGAAGACCAGACTTTGGGTCTCTCGGGATAGAGCCTGGTAAAATTGGAAAATATTAAGAGATTTTGAGAGAACTTTGTGGATTTATTATAAGTGGTTATTTCTTAAAGAGAAGTGTGGCATTTTGAGAGATACCTGTTTCTTGTGCAGTAGGAAATACTCAGAGTGGTAGACGTGATTGTTGTCTGGGTCCTCCACCCAGATCCACCAGGATTCAGAGGCTGTGCCGTGGACGCGGTCGTTCCATCGGAAGGCCGGGGTGATGGACAGTCGGACGCGGAGGATGGTCCGCGTGATTGGCTGGATGGTGGCTTCCAGCTCGATGCACGGGAGCTGATTGACGCATTGCTTGATCTTGTCGCCCATGGAGAGGTGGTGGATCAGGTGACCTTTTAATTTGCCCACAAAAAAGGAAAATTTAGGACTTCCCAAATTCAATGAAATCCAACTATGAACGAGCCCAAGTAGTCGATAAACAATTAAATAATGAATCAGAAGTTTGGTTTTTCAATTCCGTAAACACAAGCATGCTCTCACCAATTTCAGAAGCCGGCATCTCCCGAAGCTTATCTATGGTCAGTTTTTTGTTCTCCAGCTTGCGTTGGATTTCCTGTGAGAGCTGAGGGAACTGGCGTAGGGGGTTCTCGAAGGACCAGAGGCGACGGTCCACCATCTTGGATAGGGTCAGGAGCTGGGCTGCCATCAAGGGCCAACCCTTACGGAGTGTGATCTCGAAGAGCGCGCGGATGATCCGGGCGGAATTCTGTTCAGGTTTTTCAAAAAACATTGAAGGTTTCATATTACCTTAATATCAGGTTTTGTGCTTTGATGATGGAATGAATGCTAAAAGTACTGTATGGTCAATGGGTTTCAAGAGCGTGTGAGAAACAATTTCACGACTTAACTTGGGTGGGACTCGAACCAACGACCTATTAGTGCAGAGTTACATTCAGGCATACAACCGGAACTTTAGGAAAAAACAAGGACAAGATTTGTACACTATTTTTCAATTTGTAATGGCATTCATGAAAAGTAAACAAATGAGGAAAATCAGCAGATCTGAGAAAAAGTTGCAAGCCTGTACATTAGGCCAAGTAAAAAAATTCAACCACTTTCTCATCCCCAACCGTTTCCTTTTTTTCCCTTTTGATTTTAATAAAAATACATTTACAACATATTTTGTCTTTTAATGTGTTTTCAGCAAAAGTTGTAGCCATATATACAAGTTCAAATCTAGTAGAAAGGGTGATGGCTCCTTTGGCCACAAAAGTATCAACAAAAAAGTCGAGAAAATGGACGAATTCATCTTGGAAAATCCGACATCTTGAAAAAAAGGGGGGCCTCCCTCCTTTTTTTTTTTAAAAGCCCAGATGAGAAAGATTTTTTTCTTGGCCGTACCTGAGCCACGTAAGCCAAGTCAGACACCAGGGAGAAGCTCTCCACGAACCCTCGGGAGATGTAAGTCTGGAGGAGGATGTTGACCTTCCCGTGGGCGTTCTCCACCCCTCCCGCGGCCGGCATGTAGCAACTGCCATCCGATGAGTGATGAAAGTCCAGCTCCTTGATTTCATCCTCGCGAACCTACGGAAAACAACAATTCTTAAATAAGGGAAAAATAGTATGATGGAGCAGTTATAAAATTGCCAAGATTTGCAGTGGTGGATGTCGATGGGGGTATAGGGTGTCTAACCCACACCCCCTTGAGCTGCAAAATTCAGGCCGAAACAAGCAACACATACCTGTTAACCTCCCCTTGACCCCCTCCCCTCCTTGACAGCTACCCACCACCCTCCTTGACAGCTAACCCCCCCCCCCCCCCCCCCTTGAGCCTAGCTGGATCTGCCCCTGGAGTGTGATTTGAACCTCTGACCTCTTTAACAGCATACTGGTGCTCTACCAACTGAGCTATCCAGCCCTACGTTGGCACTCTCATAATTGTCTGTATGCGATTCTAAATGTTAACATTTCATCAAAAGTAATGACGTAAGAAGTCATCAAAGTCAATCACAAGTCGTCACAAATCAATCATATGTCATCATAAGTAATCACAAGTCATCATAAGTAATCACAAGTCAACAGAAGCATCTAAGACCGACCTTGATCTGTTGGAACTCCTGCGCTTGAGACACCATGCTGAAGACCCCCGACTCTGTCATCAACGGTTTCAAGAGTTCGTTGAAAGTCTCGATGGTGGCGTACTTGATGTAGAAATGGCTGGCAATGCGGCCCAGGTCCGTGGAGTGGAAGTCCCTCGTTGCCTCGTTGAAGCGGATCATTTGGGCTTTGTCCAGGGCCCGGCCGGCCTTGACTATTAGCTCGTTGCGGAAGTTTTCGAGACCGGGGTCGTTCTGAGACAAATGAGACAGACGATTATCTTATGAAGTCATCACAAGTCAATCATAAGCCGTTATATTAACATCATGTCAATCAGAAGTCAACACAGGTTATCATAAATCATCACAAGTCAATCACAAGTCATCAGAAGTAGTTACATATCAATCATAAGTCATCACAAGTCATCACAAGTCATCACAAGTTATCACAAGTTCATCATGAGTCATCCCAAGTCAATCGCAAGCCATTACAAGTCATTGCAGCTATCGCAAGTCAATCATAAATCATCACAAATCCACCACAAGTCATCACAAGTCACATCTAGCTCTAATTTATCTTTCGCAACAACCTGATTTAGTCAACTGCACTACCATTAAATGTTTTCTCTCAATATTCATTTTTTTTTATTACCGATTTCTACAATGATTACCGGTTTCCATAGCAACACGCACCTCTTTGCTCTTGTAGTTGACGCCGTAGGCCAGAGGATTCAGATGCATCCTGACGTACAGATACGTGTAGCTCAGCCACTTCACTGCCTCCTCAACATTGCTTACTGTGCCTAGAGCAATCTGAAAAAAAACCCAAGACATCATCATTTCAATGCTTACCATCTTACACACTGAGTATACAGAGTTTATATTCGTCGGTGACGGGCAAAGCCTAATATTGAAGACTCCTCACCTCTGCATTTAGGTTGTCCTCCAAGCTCTCAATAAACTGGCTCTCGATGGGATTCTGCCGCGTCATCAGGGACAGGTAGTGGGTGAGTTTGTCGTGGCTGGTGATGATGATACCCTCGCCGTGGTCGTCGTATTGGGGACGGCCGGCGCGGCCGAAGATCTGCATGACGTCCAGGATGCCCAGGTCACGGAAGACTCCTTTGTTGGCATCGTAGAGTTGGGTACCCTGCTCAATGCAGATAATAGGATAGTGTTTTTGGAGAAGGGTACCAGGCTAATTTGTTGGTTTTTTTTTCAACATTTGTGTATTAAAGTAACTACAATACATCAATAGCAAAAAATCTTATCTATTCTTTACTAGACTCAATTAAGGCTGAAGTTAACTTTCTTAGGTTAAAGATTTGGGGGGGGGGTTAACACCTTCAATGAAAATTTTCCTGACAAATATAATATCTTGAAATGCTGAAAGGGCTAAGAACGTATTTTGACCTTGATGATGACAGCATGAGCCGGCAGATTGACCCCCCAGGCCAGCGTGGCCGTGCAGACCAGGACTTTGATGTGGCCGTCTCGGAAGCACCTCTCCACCATGGTGCGATCCTGACGCAGCATGCCGGCGTGGTGGATGGAGAAGCCGTCTGGGAAGAGGTCCCGCAGCTGCTTGTTGCGGGACTTGGAGACCTGGAAAATGCGGATAAAGGATGAAAAACAAGTGTTTTCAGAAATGCGTGATGAAAAATCTGTCTGGGAATAGGTTCTGGAGTCACCTGTTGCAGGATTTGGAAACCTGAAGTTACAGAATCAAGGAGGAATAATAGGATATTCAGGAATTTGGGATGGAAAATCCATCTGGGAAAAGGTTCCGGAGTTGCTTGTTCCGGGACTTGGATGCCTGGAAGTTAAGGATCAACAGGCAAAAAGGGAATTTTCCAGAAATATACAATGGGAAAACATGCAAATTTGGAGAACTAAGGCTCATTTTATGTAGCTGCTAAGCAAATTTTTTGGCTAAGCTCAGGTTAAACTCGCTTAGCAAAACTAGGTTACCAGCCAAAATGCCATGGGATGTTTACAGCTTGTGCTTGGTTCACGACCGCTTTTTGCTTAGCAAGAAAATACGCTTAGCAGAAGTTTCGGCTGAAGCAAAGTCGTGATCTCAAATTATAGGTTTTGCCCTTCACCGACGTTTAAACACTGTATACTCAGTGTGTTACCTCCCGAGTGAAAGTTGGAGAAAAGAAATCACTCGGGTGGGACTCGAACCCACGACCTCCTGCTCTGTACGTACTGTTTGATTAACGGACAGGAACTTAAGGGTCCATAACTTGTTAGACACATGATCTGTGGGAGGTGGGGTGGGGTGGGGTGGGGTGTATGGAGGGGGGGGGGACCTCTGGCTACCAACCTGCTTTTCGGCATTTCCAAAGGCTGGGTTCTGGTCGGGCCGGAACATCAAACTGTCTCCTTGCGTCTTGGCAATCTCACGGAGCGACTGGGCCGTAGTGACAGTGGCATTGCGTGCATGCACAAACACCATAACCTTACATAAAGAAGAAAAAAAGGGAATTAAAGTTGAATACCTTGTAAAGACGGCAAATGAAACATTAAGAAGTTTGATGAGGGCTGCACACATATATATTATGATAACCAAACATAGAATTTCATACTTTCAAGATCTACTTTGCAAAAACAAAAATGAATTTCTTGTCGCATGTTCACTTGAATTAAAATCTGTATCAAAGTTACACACTAGAGTGAAAGAAGCAAAATTATGTATCAAAATAGCACAGAAAATCCCATCATTTAAAAAAATCCAATTATATCTAACATCTTTTGTTACTTTTGGAGACTCAAAAAGCCCATTAAGTAAAAGAGAGTGACTCATTTTTCCCTTGTAAAAAAAATTAACGTGGGAGGATCTTTTCTTCATCATGTCAATACCAACCTAAGAACCGGGCGGACAAAATCATCCTTATCATGCTACAGTGCCGAAACACCCTGCTGTAAATATTGGTAGACAGATTTTAAAATCTACATTACCCGATAAATGGTAAAAAACAAAGTTTATCTTTGTCAGTTTAACCTCAGTTGTCAAGTTTGTTTGCTCAATTTTTAAAATTCTTTTATTCGCGACGATTACACACTCTGTGGGAGTGATGATTTTCACTCCTTTGCTAAATGTATTGGTACCAGCAAAAAAACTCCAAAGCTATGAAAATCACCCATAAATTGTTAAAATATTAACAGCCCAAGTAAATTAATATTGACTTCATTGTGATAAGTGGAAACAACTTGGCACAGCACGACAAGATTTTATCCCAGACTGCGTGTCTACGAATAAGGACCTAAAATCCTGCCAAGAATGGTTCAGACATCTGCACTACACAGTAGCAGGTCTTGGGTTCGAATCCTGCTAAAGCAAGTCTGTGATGTGTTTAACAAGCTCTCAAGACGAACTGTGCATGTAGTGTTTACAAGGACAATTGCATGTTGGCGGAAGACAGCATTTGCCAATAATTTCTTCCTGGAAGTTTTCAACTGGCTATCTTGTTCTGGTGTTCAACTCAAGTACTACCGAGGATGTATTAGCAATAATTCCCTTCTGTCAAGTCTGTGACATACATTTCTCCACTGTAGATGCATCAGAGGTCCCGACCAACTGACACGTCAAAAAATACAGAGGAACAAAAAAACTTGCAACAGCACAGAGAGAACAAAGAAGCACTTTTTTTGTTGTCAGTCAAAGTCGGCTTGTTTAAACTACTGAAGCATCATCTAAATTTGATAAGTCAACAAACTACGACAGGCTCATCCATTTATAGAAAGGATGTTCGTTTCGCAAAGCCGACATTTATTAGCCCAAGTGATTGATACTAAACATCCGATGCCAGAATTTTCATTAAAATGGCCATTTGTTTTATGTTGTGTTACACTTTGTCAGCTGAAACTGATGAGTGACTCCTTGATAACACTTACTTGGGAAGGGCTGATCATCTATGGAGCACTCCTATAAAAGACAGACTGATTTCAACACAGTGCCATTGAAGCTGCCGCAACGTAGGCTTTCTTTTTGCGGATACATCCTGTAACAACTGACTGTATTTTCTTCGCTTGTGATCGAGTTCATCAGCTTGGTCTGAGTTCATCATCAAGACTGTCTACCCTTAAACGAATACTTATTCATCTTCAGACGATCATTATCTTGACACAGCTTCAGACGATCTTCACCAGACAATCATGCATCCACTGACCATAATCGGCCTAGTTCTCTCAGCTCTAACCGTCGTCCCTATTCTAATCCTGAACCCTTTGTGCCTCGTTGTTCTCCGTCGCACCAACGGTATCCCCGCAGTGACCAAGATGTTCATGGCTTCGCTCACTGTCTGCGACCTCTGTATCGGGATACTATGGGCAGTGCCGCAACTGGTTTCCACGATGGCCCAAGACATTCGGCTGGAGAATGCTCTGTGCCGGGTGCGGGATTTCACCTTCCCGACGTTCTCGGCTGTGAGTGCCATGTCTCTCCTGCTGCTAACCGTGGACCGTTTCATCGCTATCGTCTACCCGCTGCGCTACCCCAGTCTCTTGACCTCAAAGAGGTCAAAGGTCATCATCATTCTCTTGTGGGTGTCAACCATAATGACATACAGTGTTATTTATGCTGTATCTATAAATGCTGAAAAAAATGAAATACACAAATTTATTTGCCAGTTTACCTGGTGTCAACCTTGCAAGACAGTTCTCTTGTGTGAACTTCTCGTTACGCTGTTGATCATCCTCATGCTTTACACATACATTCTCCGAATCGCACAGCGTCAAGCGCGGCGCATTGCCGCTCACAATCACATCGGAAATGTCCACGAGGGCCAGGTGGTTTTGCAGGCGGTCAAGACCAAGTCGGCAACCACTGTTCTCATCATAACAGGAGTCGTCTTTCTCTGCTGGGCACCTTCCCTCATCTACAACTTGTGGGCTCAGCAGGCGGGTTGGCAATCCAGCTATCGTCAAACGGAGATCCTATTCACAATTCCTTTCCTGACCAACAGTTGGCTGAACGTGGTCATCTACTACTGGAGAAACAGGGAGCTTCGCCAAGCACTGAAAGACGTGACATCCTCCTTTTGCCGACGTGGACAGCACACTGCCTCCATCTCTCCGATATAGAGTCAGAGAAAGGGCCATGCATCATGGTCCTTATGACCTTTGACATGGGGTCAAATTTACATGCACACAAATACACGTTCAGTGCATCATGGTCCTTATGACCTTTGACACGGGGTCAAGTTTACATGCACACAAATACATGTAGGCACTTCGTTTATGAAAGTGTGTTGAGTGTGAGTGCGATACACATTCAATAGTGGACCTAATACAATAGAGGACATTAGGGTCCACAATTGAGTCAAGGTCCTCAGTTTTAAAAAGCTTACGAAAATGCAAAGCAAATTCGACATCACGTGAAAAATTCGCTGCGAAATTTGCCGGATTAAAAATGTGTTCAACTTTTGCGAATTCTCAGCTTGAAAACTTGCTGTGACATCACAAATTTGTGTTTGCTTTCCCTTTTACGCAAAGTTTGAACGGGACTTTTATGGGGGTTCTCCAAATGAACTTTTCGGTATAAACAATAGAAGTGTAATAACAAGTCCCCAAAAAGCAGGATTTTACACATGTTTGTGGATGTGTACTGTACTGAGAAAATTCAAAACTGTTCTGAGAAAAGCGAAATTTTTGAGAGGATTCGACCTCATCCCTCTCATATTTAGCAATTTTTTTCTGTAACTGTCCACCTCAACAATGGCAATGAGGTTTTCTATCAATAATTCTCCCTTAGAAATGTATAAAGTTAGATTTTGTTATATTTTAATTCAGCCTAGATTTTAACTCTTTTCATTGCAATGATAAAAATGCTGTGGGAGTGACGATTTTTGTTTCTTTGCCGAATATATCAGTACCAGCCAAAACTAAACATATTTACAAAACACACCCATCGCTTGATAATACATTAACAAACCAGGTCATTAAATAACTACTTCATTATTACTTTGTGTGAGTGCAAACAACTTGGCACAGCACTGCCAGATTTATGCCACATCACGTAGATCTCAAACGTATAAGGACCAACTTCAATCGGCCTAAAACCCTGCCAAGAGTGATCAGAGTGGTTCAGACATCTGCACTTGTAAGTAGGAGGTCGTGGGTTCGAGTCCAGCTGGAGCAAGCCTGTGATGTGTTTAACAAACTCTCAACAAGAACTTTGCGTGTTGTACTTAAGGACAATTGCATGCTGGTGAAAGACACAGTTTGTGCCAATGATTTCTTCGGGAAAGTCTCAAATCTTCACTTACGGCGAGTCAAATACTACAGCGGATGTAATAGCAGCAATTTACTAATTGTCAATTCGGTCAAGATATTGATTTATTGACAGTATTGTCATCAATCAGTCTGACTAACAGACACGCCAAAAAAACACAGAGGAAAGGAAAAAACTGCAACAGCGCAGAAAGAACAAAGATGCACTTTCTCGTGGTCAGTCAAAGTCTGCTTGTTTAAACTACTAAAGCATCATCAAAGCGGGCTCATCCATTATAGAAAGGAGGTACAATTTGCAAAGTCAACATTTATTAGCCCAAGTGATTGATACAAGACATCCGATGCCAGAATTTTCATTAAAATGGCCATTTGTTTTAATTTGCAAATTAGCCCTGTCTGGCTTTGTCAACTGAAACTGCTTAATGACTTCTTGATTACGCTTCATTGGGAAGGGCGGATCATCCACTGAGCAGACCTTTTAGCAACGGACTAATTTCAACACAGTGCCACTGAAGCTGCGGCGTAGTAGGCCTTGTTATTGCGTAGTATGACAAATTACACTACCGGACTGACTGTATTTTCTCTGATTGTGATCACAGGATCTGAGATCATCGTCAAGACTATCAACCCTTGAAAGGAAAACTTCTTTTCCTGACTGCAGTTTTTCAACATGGCTGGAGGAGATCTTCATCTTGACTTCAGACGATCTTCATTTTTAGGCGATCTTTATTCCGATATGGCCTCAGATGATTCTCAGCAGACAATCATGGAACCATTGACCATAGTCGGCCTGGTTCTCTCAGCTCTAACCGTCGTCCCTATTCTAATCCTGAACCCTTTGTGCCTCGTTGTTCTCCGTCGCACCAACGGTATCCCCGCAGTGACCAAGATGTTCATGGCTTCGCTCACTGTCTGTGACCTCTGTATCGGGGTACTTTGGGCAGTGCCGCAGCTGGTTTCCACGATGACCCAAGCAATGCGGGTGAAGACAGTTCTGTGCCGGGCGCGGGATTTTGCCTTCCCGACGTTCTCGGCTGTGAGTGCCATGTCTCTCCTGCTGCTAACCGTGGACCGTTTCATCGCTATCGTCTACCCGCTGCGCTACCCCAGTCTCCTGACCTCAATGAGGTCAAAGGTCATTATCATTCTCTTGTGGGTGTCAACTATAATGACATACAGTGCTGTTTATGCTGTATCTATAATTGGTGAAAAAGAAGAAATAGTTCA